AGGAGGAGGAGAAACAAGAAAGCAGGATTTAATCAATGTAGCACTATAGAAACTCAAGGTGCCTTTGCATCTTAAATACTGTGTGCAGTTTTGCTGTCCCACCTTAGAAATTAAAAAGCTGTAGTAGAAGAGGCTGATAAAGTCTGAAGTTATTTTCATGCAAAGAATGATGAAACGGTTGGTACTGGAAAACTAATTGCAGAGAAACAGAATAGAGAACTATTAACTTCTGTAGCATGGAGAGAGTGAATAACTTATTCCTTTCTTTTTTTTTTCATAATACCAAAAATAGATGACATCAAGTGAAATATAATCGAGGATACTCAAAAAACTCAAAAGGAAATATGTCTTCTCAGATCCTATAATTAAGCCATAAAATTCATTACAAAAGGGCAATAGTGATGCCAAAGTTGACACAGATGCAAAAAGATGTTACTCAAATTCATGGGGGGAAATCATTAAAGACAATAAAACACAAAGGTACTGCCTCTGACTAAATATATTCCTGAGCTGCTAGATTGCTATTGCCATTGCTAGAAGCTGCAGAAGTGTATAAAGTAAAGTGAAGCACTGGAACAGATTGCCCAGAGAGGTGGTGGATGCCCCATCCCTGGAGGCACTCAAAGTCAGGCTGGAGGGCTCAGAGCACCCTGATCTACCTGTGAGTGTCCTGTTCATTGCAGGAAGGGTTGGACTAGATGACCTTAAAAGGTGCCTTCCAACTCAAACGATTCTATGATTCTGTAATATTCTACATTTTTGTTTGTTATGTATGCAGCATCCACTGTTGGCCATTATGCAACACAGCAGGCTACCAAGATCTTTGGTCTCATCCAGAGCAGACACTTTCCTGTTCTCATGTCATTCCCTAAACTGCACTGGAAATTCCTAGAATACAAAATTTTCATTGTAAAATTCTGTCCATGTTAACAGTAAAACAGAAAGAGAAAGAGAGAAATTAATGGAAACTGAGAAAAAGAGGAAATAAGGCAGTCTCTGATTGCATTTATTTGAAGTGGGGACCAGTTTGGACTGTACTTCTCCTGACCTCTTTCAAACATGATAAATTACTACAAACCTTCATCCATAAAATGTCTGACTTCTTACAGATAAAAATAATAAGAGAGGAAGAGAGAGAAGAAAAGAAAGAGAGGAAGGAAGGAGAGAAGAATGAGAAAGAGACAGCAAAAGAAAGAAAGGAAAAAAAAGAAAAAGAAGGAAATGAAGAATGAAAGAAAGGAAGAAAGGATGAGAAAGAGGAAGAAAGAGAGGAAGAAAGGAAAAGAGTAAGAGAAGGAAGGAAGGAAGGAAGGAAGGAAGGAAGGAAGGAAGGAAGGAAGGAAGGAAGGAAGGAAGGAGGAAGGGAGGGAGGGAGGGAGGGAGGGAGGGAGGGAGGGAAGAATCCTTCAGGAAATTGTTGTTTTCACAGAGCAGCTCTCAACAGCATTTCTTGCTGGCCAGCTGGACCTGCTCATTTACACACAAATCAATTATAAACTATTCTGGCAGCTGGAGCCTATCTGAGACTTCCTTTTCCCAAAGAAACAGAATAGGAAGGTTTGTGACTGCTTTCTGCATGAAGCTACTGAGGAAGAGCTAAGGATCCTGCTAAAAATGAATATGCATGTGCACGTTGGTTTTCTTCCAACTTAATCTCCAGTATGTTTCAGTCCTTTCTGTTATGTTCTTACAGTAACTGATTTGGATGCAGCACTGTGGTATTATGCAGATGAGTGTCTAGTATAATAGATCTTTCATGTGTGCATCCTCAGGCTGTTGAAAAGCAGTATCACACAGAAATAGTATCCCGTTGTGCTTTAAAAACATTTTAAAAGCAGATTAGGTATTTGTTATGTCATATATGCAGTTAATCCTACTTTACAACAGGAGATAAGTAGATGTTCTTCTAACATCTTCTAAGTCACTTCATCCCTATTGATTACAATTTTACTATACTAGAAAAAGATATTTGGATAGTTTAATGAAACTAATAATTTGAACCAAAGAAATTTCACAAAATTTTAGTTTTAGCTCAATATATGCTTTGATGGGGGAAATGTGATCAGTAAAAACCTTTGTAATGACATTAGGAAAAAATATTATTTTTAAATGCTGCTTTATCATGTACTGGATACCCAAATTTCAAGCAATTCTAAATCAGCTGCAGAACAATAAACAGTGTTTTTAAATGTCTGGTTTTCAGCATTTCTCAGGAATAGCATTTAACTCCTCAATTTCTGACATATATAAGATGACACATTAGTCATTTGGATATACTGTTTACTTGTACTATAAAACAAAGACAAAAACCTTTCATTACATGCACAACCCAGCAAAAGGACCCTGATAAACTCAGAGTCTCTCAGTGACACTGCATGCGGTAAGAACTTCAGTAAACACTGTGGTGTGCTCCTGTGTCTACACCTTCAAAATATTTGTACGTGCATATACTTTTACTGCAGTGACCAAAATGCTAATGTGTGGAAGAACAACTACCACTTGAGACAACTTTTACTCACAGTATTGACTGCACTTACTGAAATTAGCTCTGCTTCATTCCTTTCATTCCAAACGTTGCAAACAAGTCGCATCATACTGCTGCTCCTTTTAGGGCAGCATCTGATAAGATCATTTGATTATGCCTTCCTGCATCTTTTCTGGCTGCTCCCCCAGTGCTCAGATCACTCAAGAACTGACAGATGCAGAGCACAGCTTTTATTCTGGTAAATGGTTATGTGTGGCTCTGTGCCTAGAATGAAAGTGAAAAAAAAAAAAACCACACTTTTAAATTATTACATTTGATTACTTTAAGAAAGAAGACAAAGGAAGGAGAAGGAGAAGGAGAAGGAGAAGGAGAAGGAGAAGGAGAAGGAGAAGGAGAAGGAGAAGAGGAGAAGGAGGAGGAGGAGACTAGGAATTAAACAATGAAACTGAGAGAACAGAGTGACATATAACAAAAAGAAATGAGGAGCACAAATGCTGGGCACAGGCAGAAAACAGTCCCATGCAGGGACAGGTCGTATCCTTACTTTGTCAGTTCTTCAATGCAATATTATCAGCACTGCCTGCTTCACTGGCAAGCTTCAAGCCAGCTCTGATGAATCACAGAAGAGAGCAATCAATGGAATGTTACACACTAGACATTCACAGGACAGGAAAAAATGGGCTTTACCACATTCCTTTAAAACTTGCTTCCTACTTACTCCAGGCCACAATGTGCAGATGATGTTGCCTCTAACCCTGGAATAACTCTACCTCCTCTCCTGCTCACTGAATGTCTCTCTCTTCCCAATGGAGAATAGGAGGCCTAGACACCACCAGTCACAGGAGAAAACGAACAAACAAAAAAAGGCAGGAATGCTGAAATGAACATGGCTTTGCCTCCCAGGTCATAACTCAAGTTAGGCCCTGGTAAATTACCAAAAAGCCATATGCCCGAGGGGCCTCTGTTATCTAAAGTTCCAGGACCACCCCAAATTCTTGCCACCTTTGGTTCTCTTAAGACATAAAACAAAGTTCATGGCCATCTAGCAGTTCTACCTGACCTTTGAAAAGTCAGGAAGATCAACCAGTTCTAGGCTGCGGGCTGTATTTCCAGCACCAGCACTTTCACATGCATCTCAACAAAGTGCAGAGCAAGGGAAAGTTCATGATGTGCCAGGAACTGCAGATCTTCATCATCTTGCATGTACATATATGGACATTTTCCTTCTTCAGGAAGACTTCCACTCCCCTGAATGCTGACAGTCAGAAAGAGTACCCATCAAAGCTTTATGCAGCCCTTTCAACTTGGGATGTTCAGTAATTATGATTTAATGTTTTCAAGTTGCTCCACGGTAAGTTTAGGTTGGATATTAGGAAACACTTCTTTACAGAAAGGGTGGTTAAGCACTGGAATAGGCTCCCCAGGGAGGTGGTTGAGTCACCATCCTTGGATGTGTTTAAAATCCATTTGGATGTGGTGCTCAGGGACATGATTTAGAGGAGGGTTGTTAGTTAGGGTAGTATGGTTAAGTCACGATTGGATTCGATGATCTTTAATGTCTTTTCCAACCTGAGTGATTCTACGATTCTATGATTATGTGACAGCTCTCAGTGCTTTTATTGTAGTCTGTCAGGCAGAGAACTGCCATCACACTCATTTTAGTAATGCACAAATATCACTTCTCGCCTGTGTGTCTCAGGAAAAAAAAAAAAAAAAATCAACAACAAAAAAACAAAACAAAACAAAAAACCCTTAAATTACCTTGCAGGACAAAAAATATATGATATTCCATTCCTCTACTTCCAAAAGGAGATGCGAAGATTAAAGAAAGGGATATATTTCCTTAAAAGCGTGGGTTACCTGGGTCTACTGCAGAAGATGATTGGATTTAACTTCAGCTTTAATCCTTCTGACAAATACAATTGCAATAAAACACCAATCGCAGGTCTCTAAGCACGGGCTCAACCCCCGGCCCGCTACAGACCTTCTTGGTAGGCTGTAACCCGCAGAGGAAAAGCAGCAGGGCGCAGGGTCGTGCTGTTCCAGGCAGGAAACGCGCGGTGGCAGTGCGGCCGCTCCATCTTCGCAGGGGTTTTGCTGACAGGCAGGAATGAGTTCGCTTTCTCTCGGCAGGGTAATTCAAACGAATAGGCCAGCTGTAGAAACAACGCAGCTATTCCTGACTAGCCTGCACTTGTGTACGACACCTCCAACCACGGTATCCAAAGCTCTGCATAAATAACAGAGGCAAAAAGGTGCTGGGAGAATGACATTTCATTCTCCAGGTGATCCTAGAGATTTACATAGGAATTTTGTTAGTCTTTAAAATTAAGACTGTGTTGTTCAGCGCTTTCAAAGCTAAACAGAACGCATCAATATTCATATTTAAACCAGTTTCCTCCAAGCTTTCTGAATTAATCTGTTTTCAGTGTGCCCTCAAAACCAGTTTGCTGTGTCAGTCATATTGCAGGGAGAGAGAGGAAGGAAGAGAAAGAAGCGTGAAAGGGCCAACTACCACAGCTCTAATATAAATGTTCTTTCTGCATTACTTTTGTATGTGATACTTTCCCCTGTAGTCACTGTATGCATCATAATTAAATCTCTTTTTCAAAAAACTTAAGATCAAGCATCCATCACATATTGCCATCCATTCAACGACAACCCCAGCTACAGTGCTCTGATTCTACAAATGGCACTGATAAATTCTTCTGCTCTCAAAAAACATAAGTCAACTTCAAAGAATTGGTATTGGTGGAGCAGTTGGTTACATGGAATCTCATTATTTTCTTTGAGTAGAAAGTGCCTTAATTCATCTTTATTCCAGCTTTTGCCTAAGCATTTTTTCAAATGGCTAGGAAAGAAAATATACTGCCCCCTCAAAAACAAACAAGCAAAAAACACACCACAAAAACTTTTCCACTTAGCATTTCAGAAGAAACCTGTCTCAGACATCTCACTGAATATTCAGCAGCATCTGAAGACACACTCTAGGGGATTGTTTTCTAAATCCTGAATCTATTTGAAGTGTATTTTATGTGTGAAACCAAATTAGTGTCAACTATAAAAACTGTGTTTGTCCTGAAACTCAGGAAATGAGAAGAGGGCAAGAAAAAAGAGGAGGAAAGGAAATGTTTCACATTTTTAAACCTGTTTTTTAATCTCCCCAGCAGTTCTCTCTCATCCGTGCCTGCCTGTTCTAGACAACCAACTAGAACATAGTATCTATTGTTTACTGGAGATGCCTTTGTGACTGTGGTGTAGTAATAGGGTCTAACAGTTCCTAGCATAGTTTACATTCCTTCTGAGCTGTGATGTGTCCTCCCCATTGTTTTTCCTGCCTTGTCCTTCCCATTCTTCCATTTTTTTATCCTTCCAATTCTCTGTTACATTTTTAGACTTGCCCATCACAGTTCAGCCACATACCTTCAGCTTCTTCCTCTTCACAAATTCCTGTTTTCCTTTCCCAGCAGGTACCCCACAGCTTATCTCCAGCCTCTCTGCTCCCGTATGTTACCTTAACAAGGAATGTGTCACCACACCTCTCTTAACAAGTGAAACTATTTTTGTATATCCTGCAAAAATCCTGTGATACACTACATGAGAACAAAGGGGATGACATTAGCCAGACCAGTGACAGGCCAGTTCAGAGCCCCCTCCTCTTCTTCAAGAAAAATGGGAGAGAGACAAAAAGTGAATCAAAGGCAAAAGGATTTTGCTGCTGCAAGCAGAACTCCAATGCATGGGATCAGTCCTTCCCCCAGCCTGATTTTTCAGGAAGTGAACAGGAACAGTTCCTTGCATTATCATTAAACAAGGATCATTTCGATGTTAGTTTCCCCCAAGCCTCCCTGTCCCCTCACCATTTTAAAGCCATGCTGATTCATCTGGAGTCTCAGTGGCTCTCTGAAACAGCAACAAGAGATGTTAAAAGCCATATTCATCTTTCATTTTCTTTTAGGAAAAACTAAAGCTTTTACATTTAGCTGGTTGGTGTTTTGGTTTGTTTTCGGTTTGTTTATTTGTTTTTAAATTAAACAACTCTGGCCCTTCTATCTCATTTTCTAACTGCAGTGTGACAGCCTGTGCTTTCCTATCCACAAGGCTTTGCCTCCTCCTTTCAGATCCATGCAGTCACAGAGCTTGTTAAGCCAGCAGCTCCACGTCATGTCCCAAGGTAGCAGAACAACTGAGGCCTCTGTGCTGCTCCTATTCCTCGAACCCTGTTTCTGCTGTACGTAGCCACTCAGGATGGTAAACACAGGCAGGTTTGCCTGTTGGGTTTTCTCCAGCCTTTGATTGTGGAATTCCCTCAGCACCCCTTTACAAAGAGACAGAGAGCAGAGTGCTTCCATTCAGCTGCCTGTGAAGTCTCAAGACAGCCTGGAGACCGCGGGCAGCAGAGAAACCTCCCTACACACACACTCACACAATCCCAGCCAAAAGATTTTGCCTCTCATCCAGAGACTGTGAAGCAGTTTCACATCTTACATGTCCAGATTGGAACAGACGCGTACGTAAAATGCGTGTTGTCCGTAAGCTATGTGTAAACCACAGAAGTACTTAAACGCTGGTTTAAGATGTATGAACATACACGCGTTTAGAACATGTTCCCGTTTGTCAGCTTCTCCTCGGCTGTACGGCCTCGGGGCCGCTGTCGGCTGCCAAATTCACGGCCGGATCCGTGGGCGGCTGGCTGACACCGCTCCGCGCTGCCTAAAGCTGGGCCGGGCCGCCACGCCGCGTCCCTCACCCCGGCGAGGGGAGGGAACGAGAGGAGCGGGGACCGTGCAGGAGGCAGGCGGGAGGCGGAGGGACGCGGCTGTGCCCGGCACCTGCGCGGCGGGCGGGGCAGGGCCTGGGGCCGCGCTGAGCGCGGGGCGCGTCCCGCTCCGGCCCCTCCCGTCCCTCAGCGGCAGTCCGAGCTCCGGCGGTGGAGCGGCGGCTCAACAGGTCTCCGTGAGGCGCGGCCCCGGCCCCGTGCCGCCACCGCGCGCACCCATGGCCGGCCGCGGCCCCGGCGGCGACCAGGGCTACATCCGCACCGTGCTGGGCCAGCAGATACTGGGCGAGCTGGACAGCTCCAGCCTGGCGCTGCCCTCCGAGGCCGGCCTCAAGCTGTCGGGCGGGGAGGAGAAAGCGCTTCGGATCCACCGGCAGGTCCAGCAGACGCTGGCCAGGAAGAGCCGAGGCTCGCTGCACAACGGTGAGTGCCCGCCTGTGCCGTGCGTGGCTGTGGGCGTCCCGGGTCGCTGGGACAGCCCCGGTGCGAGCCCCGGCTGCAGGGTTGTAGCGGCGCTGCTCTCTCACAGTGCCCGTCTCCGTAGAGGGAAGTTTCTCCCTCCCAGCTGCTGCAACTTGTGAGACGTGGGGAGTTGCTCGGGATTTACTGAGAGATGGATGGAGCCAGAGTGCTCCTCTGGTTGCACTCTGTTCCAGCAGCCCCGCTCGCACACGCTGGCCTTGTTTGCAGAACGAGCTGGGGAGTAGAGTCGGAAATGGCTTTCTTGGTTTCACCTCTAAGTAAAAGCAAACGTGCAAAAAGGAGGTTTGGCAAAGTACCTTTAAGAAAGGCGTGGATGGCAAACATTGAGCCCCACGGCACTCTGCAAAACGGGCCCAAAAATACCTGATGAAAACTTTTAATCCTTTTAATCCTGTTTTCACTCGGATATTCCTGAGTTTAGTCTGGAAAAGAGGACGCTCAGGAGAGACATTATTGCTCTCTACAGCTATCTGAATGGAGGGGAGCCTCTTCTCCCAGGTAACAGCAACGGGACAGGAGTGCCACAAGTAGCACCAAGAGAGGTTCAGGTTGGATATTAGGAAACATTTCTTCTCAGAAAGAGTGGTGCTGCAGTGGCACGGGCTGCCCAGGGAGGTGGTGGAGTCACTGTCCCTGGAGGTGTTCAGTAACTGTGTGGATGTGGCACTGAGGGACGTGGGCAGTGGGCACAGTGCGGATGGGATGGTGGTTGGACTGGATGACCTTAGAGATAATTTCCAACCATAATGATTCTATAATTTTATGATATGATATGATGGATTTACAGGTTATATACGCTGTTCCCATGTTTGTCATTATAGAACTCCTCACCTCTGTCACGTGCAAAAAGCTGTGAGCAGTGTCTTTAAATTAATAACCATACCTCGCTCGCCTGTCTTGTCAGGCAGACGAATGTTTCCTTATACTTCTGACTCCCATCTGAAAAAAGGCCTCATCACTAAAAGAATCCAATGCAGATGCAGATTTACTCTGACAAATGAGGCACACAAAGTCACATAAACAGGTACCTACAGCTGTGCAGTGTGCAGCTATCTACACCTGCAAGTCCCTAGCCTGGCAGCACTCCTTTCGGTAAGGTTTCTAAACAGTTTTTAGAGTAATTTCATTTCTTTTTCTCTCAATAGAGAGGAACAACGTGGAGAGGCCGTTTTAAAGCAATGAGTAACAAATGAGATGGTTTTGTGAATCTAACATCATATAGCTAAACTGTGATAAAACTATGAAGACAGAGTTCTCATCTTTCCAACTCAACTTCTCTGGAATATGTTAACAGACCTGAATGATTTAGGATAATTGTCTTTGTCTGCTTTGTTTTTATAAAGATCAAGTGTTTGAATACTTTGCATTTCTGAGGCTCCAAAACTTTAAGCTTCAAGGTCAGAAGTGGCAAATATCGTTTCATTAGATGGATTGTTTGTGCATGAAATGAACTTCTCTTCTGTCAAACATATTCTGGTGCCCAGCTCACCATGCAAATTTTGTTCCTATGCAAAGCTCAAAAAAAAAAAAAGGAATCAGAATGCATTTCATGTACTATATAAGAAATATTTAGAATGCATATCAAATGCCTATAATACATTTAAAATGTCTTTCCTGAAAAATGTGTGTGTATGTCCCATTGTGCTTTTTTCGTAGACTTGCACAACATTTTACTATGCTTTGAAAAACATTTTTAAATGGAAGCTGTTTTTGAAAATATGCACTATTGAACATGCAAAAAAGTACCCGCTTCACTGAACAGTACAATCTTCAAGATATATTAAGTGTCTCATATTGTTTGGAGTTTCAAGGAAGATAATAGGTTTAAAAGCATCAGAAAAAGTTCTCTGTGATATAACTGTCCTATCTGTATTTCAGACTCAGTTCAGCAAGGTACTTACCACATACCTAACCAGAGCATTCACATACATGCCTAAAATTAGCCAGGGACAGAATAATGGGGTATGAAAAATCAGTGGCACTAAAGATCTTACCAAGTGTCATCCGTGTATGCTCATTTTCCACTTACTGTACTAGAAGCTTTGAAGCCTCAAGAAGTACACTGTCAAGCAACAATTTCTCCTTGAAGTTTCAGACTAAAGATTTGGCCTTCAACATTATCTTCAAGTGGAAAAACATATTTTTGCCTTCTACCTCCATATTGCTTTATATTGCATATTGCTGCTTTATGCCCTTACGTGCATCCCCTATTAAGGACATCTATACATTTTTTTTATTTTATAATAGAAATTCAGATCATCACCAGATCTGAGAATTCCTCCTGCTGCCAAATGGTTAAAATTATGAACTATCTCAACTCTTCTTAAAACATTGTCAAACATTGCTAGTGGCTTTTCAAGCAGTAGTTTAACAACAGCTGCAATTTTCCAGTTTGCTGCACCTTTGCAAATTAAAGATTATGTTGCACTGAAAAGCAGCCATGTGAAATTTCCTAATGTTTAAAAATGGAAATCTTACGGTAGAGAAATGGCCCTTTATGTTAATAACTGGTGTTTGTTATTGTAGTGATTATACCTTGTGTAATTCTGTTTATGATTCTACTTTCCTCTAATCTTGTTCAATTTGGATTTTGATTGGCTTTTTAAATTCATCAGTGGTATTTCTGTTTCTCTAGTGTAGTCTCTGGATCAAAGTCCTCCATCCTTTACATCCTTGCCAGTTTTGTAACAGATGACCACAGAATTTAGTAGTATGCCACACAAGACTGAAGGGCTCAATGATTTATGTAAAGATGCATTCTCTAACACGTGATTTTATAACTTATTTGAAAAGAGGATTTAAACTGATATGATTTCTAAACCAACAGTGCTAGATAATTACAATCAGAACCCTATTTTTTCCTTACATTTCTTCACTTCTTCTAAAATTCTTAATAGTAATTTTCTTTACTTTGCTTTAGGGATTTGTAGAAAAACTTCATAGTGATTTTCTTTTTGTATCTTCGTGGAAAAGGGAAACAGAGAAAAATTTCCCTGTTGGTGACTTATACTTCTTATTGCCTTTCTTAAATTCCTCACTGCTAATTGCTGATCCAGAAGGAAAAAAGTAAGTCTTACAGTTGAGCATTTGTGTGAATGTCATGACCAGTGCAGAATAAAAAATGTTGGAATGTCACTTGGGACCAGGCATGCGCTGGCATTATGATGAAAGGGAATAATCAAAAAGAATGTTCTTTCTTCTCTACATGAGGTGATTCAGAGAAGTTTTTGATGTGCTTTTCCTAAATGCCACTAGCTCAGTCCATTGTGAGCTGTGAAGTATAAAAAAGGATTAAAAGATGACAAACCAGGAGCGCTAAAGTGTCTATCAAGGATATAATCTCCCTCCCACCCCGAGAATCGATGGACAAGAGATATTCAGCAGGTGGGCACTTAGGATGTGTGAAAATACCACAGTCCTCAATAGACTTGTGTGTACAGGATATGGCTTAGCTATTTCCTGCAGTAGAGGGTTTAAAGCCAAAATCTGGCTTTCACAGTAATCATTCAAGTACAAAAGTGCTGAAAAAGACTCGCAACTGAGAGGTAACAATGCATATGATTTGAAAGGAATCCTACACCTAATTCCTTAGCAGGTAATCATCTTTTTTTGAACATCATGTATCTTGGAGATGTATCTTGTTATTCTTTTCTAAGGCCAGGCACATAGGAGATTGATTTGTCTGCAGCTATGGCCAGCAATTAATGGGGAGGAACTTTCCAGGCCTTTAGAAATGTTGAACCAATCCACGTAAGGGGGCTTCAGAAGAGCCACCATGAAGATGAATAGGACTATTTTCTCAGTTAACTATTCAGTCTTCTTCCTGATAGTAATTATTTTTCTAGATCTCAAAATTTTATCATAGCTGTTGTGAAATTTAGGTCATTTCTATACAGTTTTCATTTTGTGTGTGGCTGAGAGTGAAGAGGTTTAGCGTTACTCCTCCACTGACCACATCCATAGCGCCACTGTTCTTGAGCTTCTTTAGTTCAGACTGGCTGAAGAAAGGGGAGACTGTCATAAAAGATTCCATTCAATTACCTACGCATGACTGCTCTTTGAGATGCCTGAGTTTTCTAATACATTCACGTTGGCTGACAGATGGAACACAGGGCCTGTAGGAAAGCCATCCGTTCCTTGACTGCTGCAAATCACATACAGTCAAGCATCCTGATTTCATATTTTCTGAAGAGAGTGTTTCTGTGAGGCTTAAAGCACTGATTCCCATAGTTAGAAAATATAAATTATATGAACCCATAATGTTTAAAAAAAAAAAAAAAAAAAGAAACATCCTTTGTGTCTTTTTCTTAGTCAGTTCAGTGAGTATAGAAGGACTCCCTAATGGCTTTTGACTATATGTAATACTGAGCAAATCTGAGAGGTGCAAAAAACATAAGGTTTTGTGGTGAAAACTTAACTGAAGGAACCCTCTCTGACAGAAGCAAGTTTTGACTAGATGCCCTATCCTGCATCTCATAACTAATGGAAGGCACAGCATTTTAGTTTCCACTTTTTCCTTTAGCACACTTAGCTTTTGACACCAGTAGACAGCCTATCTCGCAATCTACATTTTATGTCTCCCTAATAAATCTTCAGGTAAAATGCTGACAGAATAGTATATTGGCATGGTAAGAGCAAACAAACAAGAGGTACAAAAATGCAAAGTGAAATTCCTCAAGTTAACATTTACTGTGTTTATCTCTGACTGAGAAAAATGTTTTGTTTGCTGATGGATGGTTTCACAGGGAGACTGAAGGTTAAAAACAGAGGGCTGCTTGAACCCACTTAAAGCCAGAGATAACTGAGTGTTGCAATTCGTGGTTGAATGTGTTTTTGCTTTTACAAAGAGGGTAACTGTTTACCCTATGCTGGTTCATGGACAGATCTATTGTTTTTATTTTATCAAGATTATTTTGTTTGTTTAATAAAGACGGAGAATTCAGAGTTAACTAAAACATGACAAAATGACTTATTCAAGGCATCTTTATGTTTGAGGAAGATAAATAACAATAATTGCTCATTAAGTAGACTAGACAAAAAGTATTAGCTATAAAGAAACAGTCCTATGAGTATCTATTTAAAGACTGATTATATATGACAGTACTTTAGTAAGTAGCAATGAGTAAAGCTAATCTTTAAAAGGCAAACGTGGGCAGTATGGTAAGATGTGATCTTACCGAGCACCTGAAATTGTATGTTAATTATATCATAAAAATGAGGGATTTATGTGAATCGTCAGATTTTGTATGTCAGTGTAAATTGGCAGGAAATTTATGCATTTTGAAAACAACAATCTCCTGCTAACCGCTTTGTCGTGTAGTTGGATAACCATTGGGCTGTGACAGCCTTGTATGTCATGAAGGAATTAGTACAGTCCAAATGATGAGTTTCACTGGGCTGCATCACTCCACTCTCATTGATGCAAAGTTAGCATAAATGTGTCTTAACAAATCACCTAGTACATGTTCAAATCTGTTCTGTACAGCCAAAGTGCAAGAATTGGAAAGTATGATTAAATAGCTGGAAAATATGAATAAATAGGACCTCAAATGATTGCATTCAGCTTATATATTATACACAAATTTGGATTTATTCAGGTAGTTACATGCTAAAGAGAGTCATTCACAAGTTGTTCCTGCTACATGAGTGTCTTGTTTCTTTTCACCATTGCTTTTACTGACTGCATGCAGTAATGATGAAAGATACAGGAATACTGAGGTACCTAGGGATGCCTACATGCACCTAATTCATTTTGGCACAAACCAAAAGCCTCAGCAGTTTGACAGAGACACAAGTTGCTTTCAGAAATCCAGGCAGTCACTTGCCTGCTTGCTTTTGGTATCTGAATTTCTTTGTGCATATGGCTCCTAATATTTTTAGAAGCAGAAACTTCCATCAGTTTGGCTAAGTTAATGATTTTCTTCTGTAGGTTTATTTTCTGTAGTATCTCAGACAATATCTGCTATATTGAAAATTCATGGCCAGTTTCTTTATTAGTCATTGTTATCTTTTCAGCCTAAACTTCTGCAACCCACACTGACTCCATTTATGACAGATTTGAGGTATATCTTGCCTTTAGTGTCACCTCTTTAAACCTCTATTTTTTATATTCCTGTACACAGATTCTCATAGTAACACTGCAATCTCATAAACAATTACTTCACCTGTATCTATTACAAAGCTTAAGGTAGTGAAGGAAATAGACACAGTGCACTGTTCCATCTTCAAAGCTAAGCTGTATAAAGAATCTATCGAAGCAGATATGCTGTGGGTCTTCTACATTATTTGTTGGATTACTGAACCTTACAGGTATAGTTTTAAAGCATCATTAAAACTCTAATGTTATCTATAATAAAACTCCCCTTCTTTTTCAGCACCGTACACCATATACATCCATAAGCCACAGAATGTGTTTATGGACTCTTCATGTTCTTTGGGTGAAACACTAAGATTAGTGAAGCTCTGCCTGTTTCAGTATATTATCATTAAACTAGTGCCTGAGGGAGAACAGACATCAGCAGACAGCTATGATGTAAATAGTCCATATTCAGTTATTGTACTTCTTTAGCAATTGTGAAAGTTGTGTCTCTAGGGCATTCAGGAACAAAGGTATACACATAAACCCAGTTTTCTCAGTTGTAATCTACAACTGCAATATTTTAGCTTCAGTCATGCGTGCTGTGTTTGTTAGAATGGGACTATCAGGTAGGACATACATATTTAAAGTGGTTACAATGAAAGAAACCTTCTCAGTAGCTGTGAGGTGATACTCTTTCTCAGTACTTAATAATTTGTCATTATCTGGGATATTAAAAATATCAGCTTGCTGTGTTAAAATGTCTTTCATGGAGTAGATGAATAACAGTAAGACTTTTAAAAGTTAAAAACATGTCTTAAGTAAAATAAAAGAGAAACTGAAAATATGAACCATGACCTCATAACTATGTTTTGATTGTGCTGCACTGAATGCAAACATCTTTCCATCTTATCCCTGTCTGATTTTCAGCTAATAAATATTATTGACAGCACAGAATGAGTCACTTCCCTAGTACTAGAAACAGTCCTTTATAGTAATTCTGGATGTTGCTAAAATCTTATTAATACTAGTCTTTGTTTGCAGGCAGTTTACACCGTGCTTCCAGTGTCCCAGAACGTGTCTATAACATGGGGATTGTTGAAAATGATTTTTCACCAAGATCTCAGTATGGTTTCTCATATTATCAGTCAAACCAGGTGAGGAAAACATAACAAACAGGAACAAAGGTATTACCGTGCATAGTTTATTTATTTTATTAGCACAAATAATAGCATGTAGATGGTATTTCAAGGTTTGCATGCTTGCTTCTTCACGTTTTAAAGCCTGATTTGTAGAAAAGGAGGTTTTTGTAACTGAGTTAATGGTTTTTTTTCTCTTCTTGTGACTTCTGAGCTCAGAAACTAAACTCAGCTCAGTATGATAAACAGGCTTTCTGCAACCATCTTGGTTTCATGAGAAACGGCATAAGATTAGGAAATAAATTCATATTAACATACCATTAAGACAAAGGTTGTTACAAGTCAGACCTTTATCTCTCCCACCAGGCTGCCAGTCAGTCAGCACATGCATAGCCCAAAGTGGCCAGAAGCCACAATGCCATGCATCCAGCAAAGCAGTTAGAAGTTGCTGGAGGGAGTTTCATGGTCCTGCAGCATAAAGATGACATGAATAGGAGCTGGGAATGTGGTGAAATATGTTAGAGAATTAAGCATCCAAAGCCACAGCAAAACATACGTAAGTTTCACAATGACACATAGCGTGTTCCTTATCATTTTAAGCAGTCCTGCTGTGACCTGTTTTAGTATTACACGAATTTCAGCAGTCCTCGTAATACAATAATGTTTCTAAGCTGTCTAATTACAGCTTCACTTCTTATTTTGACTTTCTTTGCTTGGGTTTGTGGCCTAAATGCTAAGGGAAGTAATTGATTTTCTTCAGGGTTTTTGACTCTGCTCATAACCAGTTATTATATGGCTGAGGGAGCACTTATTATGTGGTTGTTCCCACAACAGTTTTCATGGCAGAAAGGAGAAAAAAAAAAGGAAATAGGACAATTTGTTCTGCCATGCAGCCATGCAAGCCAGAAAAATCCACAAGGTTAGTATTTCACTAAGCATTCATTTCCTTGCCTCAGTGAAGACATAAATATATACTTGCATAATTTCTGCAGAATAAACAGATGTATCTAACGATCCTAGCCTTGACCTATTAGATTCAGCAATCATTTGTCCTTCCGTCCTTCAATTGTCACCTTCAGTGACAACTCAACAGTGAAGGAAAGGGGTTTTAATCACTATCTGTTAAGCTCTGTCCCTTCGATTAATAACTTCTGTGTAACTTCACTTTTACCTTAAAAATACCTGTGATAATATAATCATTTTTTGCTCCCTTGAAATGTTATGGGATCTCCTTCATTTTTAGGAAGAGGCTAGACAAACAGGGAAGGAAATATCTCTTTTTTTTTTTAGTAGGTGCTACCACAGAGTGAACAGAAGAGCTAAATAACCTCTCAGTTTCCTTTCTAGCTGTACACTGTAACGATATACAGGCATTTTAGTATATTGTTTTAGTATCTGACTGATAAATTGTCTTCTATCAGACAGCCTTGAATTTCATTTCAGTAGCTGATGTGAATGTTAATCCTCAAGGAGTTTCAAACTGAAACTAAAATCTCCATTAACAAACAGACTTTTCTCTACCAAGTAAAACTGAATCCTATTTTGAGTTAATGATGGCAGACTAGACTTGTCTCCTAATATTTACATCATACTTGTTCACCTATGTCTATAAGGTAAATACGAAGAAGTGTTGCAGAATCTCATTTAATATCCAGTTTTAGTAATGTTCAAATTTTGTTATTCTTACAGTAGACCTTAACATTTTTATCTTTTCTGGTTTGGTTTCTTTGCCATTAATCCTAAATGTGATGTTCTTACCGTGATTCCTTTTCTCTTCTGTACTCTTGGACAGGTTGCGTCACCATCCTCTTATACAAATGGCTGGGGAACAAGAATTGCTTACAAGGCAATGGAAGAAAGAGCTCAAAGACAACCTCTGAAAAGATTAGAGGTTTCACCCCAGCGAGGTCCCAAAAGATTGTCATATGTGTCCAATGATTTTCACTATGACAGAATGTTTTCAACTGGATTCTCCCCAAGGCATGGAAATTATAGGAGATCCAATGGGACTGTCCCACCAAGATATGCTCGTTCTGAGATTGCTGGTTACACAATTCGTGATACAGTGAGCAGGGGAAACTCTCTTAAAAGACACTCCCAGTTGGGGGCTATTAATGACACCATCCCTGATAGTGCCCCTCTTAGCCCCCCTGTACAAAGGTACCATCAAGCAGGCAACAGTCGCAGTATGACCAACCTTTTAGAGAAGGAAAACTACCTGACTTCAGGCAGTGCAATGGGACAAGTGAGATCACCAACTGCTTCCCATTTTGGATATCAGAACAGGCAATCTTTAAGGTCCAGCTGGCACCAAACTACTCTCAGAAGCGCACAGACCAGGAGGGAAGCTTCCCAGCCAGCTTCAGTAACCAGTGTTGCTGCAGAACCAGATGGTAAGAGGATGACACTGACAGCTGCTATGGCAGCAGCGGGGAGAAACAGTTTCCTGCAGAGTGAACAAGCCACCATCAATGGATCTCAGCTAGGGTAAGCCCAACAAAGAATTCTTACTTAAATGTCACAACTGAAAAGAACAGATTTGTTTGAGAAAGGAAAGTAAACTGACAGCTAACACGGTGTAAAAATCCACTTCTAGTGCAACATAGGAAAGGGGGGAAAAAAGTGTGCGTTTATATATACTATAGGGTCCACACTGCTTGCTCAGGTTTGGGACCACCTTTTGCTAAGAGTTAATCATACACCTATGGAGACACGGAGTAGATGCTGAGAAATTTACAACCTAAATAACAATACAGTGTAATGTATTAGCAAATATTGGGCTCCTCAGAAACCAGGTAACTTCATCACAGACAGCTATTTTGATATTCCATCTTTTGTACAAGCAGTTTTGGTTGTTCTTTTGTGGGTACAGACATTGGAATCTAGTTGTCTGCCTGCAGAAATGTCAGCCAAAATGTTTTTCATGCCTTCAGATGTAAGCATTTATCTTCAGTCATTGTGATTTGCTTGGGACCATGTTGAACTCCATGTGGTAGATTTGTGACCTAATGGAAATCTATTTGACAGTGTAATTGCTTAAGTGCCAATTTTTTAGTTTAACTTCTGCTGGAAGTTACAGATGAAAATGATTTGAAATGCTTTTGAAAGTTTCTGAAGTTCCTTTAGCAAATCTTTACATATCTCAGTACTAATATTTCATTTTCTTGTGTGTAATTTGTTTAATTTTCAAATAAGCTGGTTTTACTTTGGATTCAGAGCTAGTTTTTGCGGGGAATGTGGGGGCTATTTAGTCTACTCAGAGTTTAATAAAGCTTCTGTAAAATATAACAACAGCTTATCTTAGTGAGAGGATGATGAAAATTAGTGTGCAAGATAATTCCCCAGGAGAACTGGATCACTAGACTCTTACAAAGGAGAAAACTACAGTCATTTTAGCTGACTGAGGTCAGTATTTGTTATGTTTGCTTAGGCAATAATGTGTAATAATGTATGGGGATATCATACACTTTCCAGATGTCTAAAATATGTGTTTAATAGGACACCTTGCAATTTTCATCACTGCACAGGCTTAACACTGAAGTCTTGCATTGGTTATAGTACGTTTTAGTTCATCCACTTCCAGGCACTGCACAATTTAATGCAGAATTAAGTATTTAAAACACAGTAGACCAAATTTTGCTTTGGAGTATACGCTGCTGTCAAATTAGAGATATTTCACCTGAGTTCATAATTCCACCAGAAGTACAGTTCTTCCATCAAGACTTCTCAGTCTAAAACATTATTAATGACTTTCGCATTTCCTGTCATTTCCCATTGTTTTTTATTTTAAAGTTGCATTATGTGATGTATTGTTCTCTTATCTCTTGCTCCCTTAATAATGGAAGGGACAAGAAAAGATAAGCTCATTTTCAAAGCAATTTGACTTTTCCATAAATTTGTACTTTTTAATGCAAATCACAATGTAGGACTTTCCAAGGGCAAGGCTTAATAATTAAGAGGATGTAAAATAGTTTTGTAAGATTGAAAAGAAGCCTTAGACTAGCTCTATACAGAATTTAAAATTACATGTATAATATAGAAATGCATTTGCAGACTTTCCTTAGAAGAATAGCTCGTGCTGTGAAGTCAAAGTAGAAGAAACAGAATATAGAGATGCTATCTCTACATCTTCTGGTAGAGAGGAACAGTTAAAAACTTGCTAATATCCTCATAATTAAGATGGGGCACTTGTCAAATCATTGTTCTGTTTAAGAACCATTGCTTGAATGTCCTCCCGTTTGTCATCAGCTAATTAGCCATGTGGTTTTTAGGTTTGCCTGTAACTGTTTTGAGGATAGGATAGAATAATTTCATCAAATTCTATTTTGACAAAAGTTGGGGTGCTGCAATTTGTAGAATACCTTTAAGAGTGAAAGATTATATTATTGTCAGATAAAACTTCAGTGAACGCAAAGGTTATTTTCATCCAATGGAAAGCAGTCCTAGTCTGGCAGCATGCAACATGAGAGAGAGATTCTGGCTATTGCTTTTGGAGGAGCATTACCCTCTGTAGGAGTCAAAGGACTCTAAAGTTATTACAGTGACTAACACGCAGGTAAGCTTTCTTGCCTGTGCACAGCATATAATATGGTCATGAAAACCTTGTTAGTTTAAGAAGACTGGCTAAAACCCGTGCTTGAAAAGCCTGTTTTTTCTGTTCCTCTTAAAGAGGCTAAGAACAAGAAATATGATCTACCTTTTTTCCACTACTCATTGATGATGATTTTTAAGTAGGTTTCTGAACAATGCATCCAACTTGTAATGAGAAGTAATTTAATAGCTACTTTATTTTAAATCAGAGGTGAAGTGAGTGAAAATCTGGAAGATGTAAGCATTGCCAGAGTAGAGCCCGGAACACTAATTGCATTCTGATTGAACCTCTCCATTGACATTGTCAACATGCTGTCCCCTTCATTTCATATTTGTCTTGCACAAGCATTTGTCAGCATCTGTGTAGGCAGAATATTTGCTCAAAATGCCAACAGAGAGGAGGATGAAAATAACATGATTTATACTAAATGGAAATGTAAAGGCAAGTGGAAACCTCAGGGTACTGGAATACAATTTCATCTGGAACAGGTGTACCAGAATTGTTCTTCGTCTCTTTATTGTTCTTGCAGCCATATTAATTGTGTTCTGTCCTGTGGTTTATAAGGTAGATGGAGGAAATAAAAATCAAACACAATTATTTTTCTTTTTTTTTTTCCTTTTTTGTCTCACAGCTCATAATTTTGTCATAAATATCTTGGTCTGATTAAATGCATTTGTAGAAAGATTGTCTCTGAGAGTTCTTCTTGATTTCTGCCTACCTGATTTCTGCTTCCTTACATAACCCCTCCACCACTTGTTCTGGGCAAGCCTGTGCTTCCAGGTTTTCACTCCTGCTAGTCTGTCAATGAGATAGAGATGAACAGAGATGAAGAACCCAGTGATTCCTGGTGCAGTCCACAAACATATGATATAGGAGTGTTTCTTTTCTTCATGTTAAAACATTTCTAATCTGAGCATGATTTATTATTTAACATCTCCTCTTAGTCAAGTTGATTTTGTTTTCCAAATACTTGTTTTACCAAAGAAATTAATTGCATCACAGTTTCTAATTTTAGATGTACTTACTAAATGATTATCATCAAATTTACTTCCATCACCATGGTTCACGAAATGCCTAGTTGGCCCTGTCTGGACAGTCCCTGTTCTGGTTCTATAATTTTTTTTGTTGTTGTTAAAAAAATATATATATACATATATTATATATATATATATATAATATATATATAGTTACTTTTCTGAGTGGGGAGTGTTTGAAACCAGAAGTAAATCTTGCCTATCCCAGGACTAATGCGCCTGATAGTGCCATGAATTGTTTTGTTTCCTTTACTAGGAAGGAAATGGGGGTGGTGACCTCTTTCCAATTTTGATATGGTTCTCTAACATAATAGTTACCGAAGCTAACACATTGACAATTAAGAAGAAAATGAACATGCATATTTTTAATCCTACCAGATGTGATATACTTACTTAATTTAATGAGTGATTTTATTTCCTTTTGCTTGAAAAAGTCTTTGGCCATCTGTTTTAAACTAAAGCAACTTCTGCACATTTGAAGAAAGTGAGGGACTGAGCTCTGAATTTATATAGACTGAGATGTGAAAATCTGAAGAAAGGCATGAAAACAAACAAAAAATTATAATCACATTGCTGAGAAGAACATCAAGATATCTTCATAAAAGTACAAGTCACACTGTAACTTGGTTTTGGCTCTCCTCGATTAATCCTTCCACCTGCTGATGTTTCCATATTGTCTTTATAATTTCAAGCATCACTTGTTTTGTCCAGAATGTCTCATTGCTGCAACAATTCAATTTATGATTTGCTTATTCCCCAGAGTATCAGTATCTCCTAAAACATTTATAATATTGGTAAGGAAATAGATTTCTAAGAAAAGCTAATTAAAAAGAATAAATAGCCTGCTGTTAAAGGTAGTTCACAGGCTAAAAGATTTTTCTAGTCTTTCACTGTATTTTCTCTAATTGTACTTTTAAGGAGCCCAGAAATGGAGATGACTCTAGAGCGTGCAGTGAGCATCTTGAAGAGTGAAAATACACAGTCAACACCGAGGATACTTGCTGCAGTGACTTTCATACAGCATGAATGCTTCCAGAAAGCAGAAGCCAGAAGAAAAGTAAGTGATTGTTTTTATGCAAGTTTTAGTCAGGTAGAACAAATAATGAGAAAGAGCATTCCAAGAAGTACTGCAGGATACTGATGTTGAATATTTTCCCTAACATATGCTGATGCTTTTTGCTGCAGGTTCTTTAGATCAGTAGAGTAGCACTGGTCTGTGTTAGCAAAAGTTTGGTCTTCAGCATTTTGTGATAGGAAACATGGAAATATAGAGTTAGAAGAGACATCAATGATTCATCCAAATCATTTGCAATTGTAGGTGTTTATGATTAACTTTTTAAAAAAGGATACCACAAGTTCCCAAAGACAGAGGATTTACTGTATACATAACAGCTATTCGTAAAGTGTAATTAAATCTTCCTTTGCAAACTAAGTTCATTCATTTCTATCTTATCTTGATGGATATAGAGAAAATTTTCTATTCTTCTATCTCTTTTATAATGATTTTTTGTATGATTTAAGGCTGCTAAAGAGTCTGCTTTTTTCAGAGTAAAATGAAAATAATTCTTTCAGCCTTTGTTCTGCATCGTGTGATGGTTGTTTATTTTATTTATTTTAACAATTTTAATTTTAAAACATTTTTACAATTGCTTTGTTTCATAATGTGCCCAGTATTACTTATATGTAATCTCTGTCATTCACGTATATGCAGTCCAGTTTAGTGACAGCCAGACATCCCTCAGTTGTTTAGTAAATATAACTTGCTTCATAGTAGGTCAGACTGTTTGGGGGAAAAAAAACACCTGTGTAATTAGCAGCTTTAAATTCAGTTTTAGGACAGAGCTTCAGAACTGGATGTTTGAAGGTGATTTATCATTCAGAACTCTCCAAAGCAGCTTCCCTGAAAATCAACTGGATGAGTTTAAAAAGTTCAAACTGTATCAGTCAGCCTGAAGCCCTCTTTGGGTTTGCTGTCTGTCTCACATACTCTAGCTGAGCTTTGTATTTGGTGCCCATCAGACCATCAGACCTTTTCTTGTTCACTTTATCATGTTTGCACATTCAGCTTGAGTTCTTCTCCTAATGCTTTGTTTCCTGTTACCTGATAGTTTGTAACTCTATTGGGTCTAGTGGCTTTCTTTTTTTTTTTTTTTTTTTTTTTTTTTTTTTTTCTGGTTTTAAACATGTGGTCTTACCATATTTTAGTGGACTTTGTTTACCAGAGAGTAAGACAGGTGTCAATCAATAACCTTTGTAAATTCTTCTCTGCACATGAGGTGCAAATAACTCCACTTACCAACAGAAAGTCTGCATAAATCTTTACAATAAAAAACAAACAAGCGAACAAAACCCTAAGGTATCTGTGTCAAACTGACCTACCTACTAAAATAAAATGGTTCAATGTGCCTTCAAAGTGTTTTATGCTCCATTTACCTTTAGATACAGATTTCTGTATTTATTTCCATTAGAACATAGATGATTGTTGGGTGAAAGCAAAATAGATTACGTCAACAATGCCATAGCAAGAAACTGTACCTTTTGTACAACAGAATCAGGGGAAAGGTGGACATTCAGTGTAGTTTGTCAGGGAATGAAGAGCAAAAGGCTTTGTTGTAGTTCATTTCTTCCAGTTCCCAAAACCTGTTAGTCATACTAAATTCCTCTTATCATTAAGAGGACTGCTCAAAACAGTTGTATTAGGTTTCTGAGTCTTTCACATGCTGTCAGTTCTACACAAGTGTGTGTTTGTCCACAAAACCACATGGCATTTTTAGATGCTGAAGGAAGCAGTCCTTAATTTTACATGAAAGTAAGGTATTTTCTATAGTAAACTCATTCCTAAATGAGCCAAGGCTTGCTTATACCACATCACAGCTTGTTCTGAATCTATCATTTGCTACAACATGTAGAACTTGGAAACTTTTTGTTTCCTCCTTATAACTGCTGTAAAATGACATCTTAATTCTTCATTCATTTGGGGCCAAAACCCCATTTTCTAAAAATTAGACACTGAAGAGTAGTCTTTGTTACATGTGGGATTCAGTAGTTGACTAGCTTACAATGTTTAATTGTCTACATTTTGAAGTTAACTATTCTTTTCTCAGTATGCCACAAGTACTAAGTAAAATGCATTCTTACTTAATATATATTCACCACATGCACAGAAGTTGACAGGGAAAAATATTATTTTCCCACCAGTCTGGCTTCTGAGAAAGAAAAAAACAATTTGGCACATCAGGAATGCATTACATCCAGAAATCTCAAAGCAGTTTATGAATGTTCCAGAGCTAAATCTCAAATATCCATCTCACCAACATAGAAGCTAAAATACAGAGCAATTGAATGTCTTGTCAGAAAGTCAAATCTGTGACAGAGCTGGAAGTGATTTAGTTTCATTCTCTTGCATTAATTACTAAAATATGATGCCTCCCTTAGTTGTGGATTTAACTATGAGTCATACAAAAGCCCAGAGGTTAGTATCATGCCCAAGTGATTAATGCTCTGTGCTTTAAGTGTTTCAAATGAGAAAATGAAAAAAAAAGACCCTAAAACAATGCTTAAACTTTTGGCAAGGGAGAGATGGAATGGAATTTGTCATTATCATTATCTAACCATTCTCTGCTGTTTTCTTTTCTTCACAGGTTTTTTCACTTGGTGGTATCCCCAGACTTATACAGCTTCTTGATGCTCAGAATGAGGATATTCAGCGAGCAGTGTGTGGTGCTTTGAGAAACTTGGTGTTTGAAGACAATGACAACAAACTGGAAGTGTCAGAGCAGAAAGGGATCCCTATCTTGCTCCGTTTACTCCGATATACCAAGGATGTAGAAACTAAAAAGCAAATAACAGGTAGTGTTCTCTGTTCATTCAAGCATGAAGTGCTTTAAGTAGTACACAGGTGCCCAATTGCTTTCTTAGGCCAATGTTTGGTGACTAAGTAATCACTGTCACCTATTCTAAATTCTTCTCTTAAGGTAAGATTATTCATTACTCAAGACCAACAGCAAGAAAAGGCTAGGAACTGCAACTTTCCCTCTCAAAGCTTCTTCAGAAAAGATGTGTCTGTGTGTTTGTGGAATGAAATTTCTTAATGTTCTAGAAAAGAATAGCAAATTCAGTCAAACCATATTGATGAACATTACTCTGAGCAGTCCCGTAGATGCCTGGGACCATACTTTTTGCCCTCAACAGCAGCTTAGCCCTCTCTGTGGTTCTGGGAGTTCCCTTCTGAAGTCTGTGTTGGATCTGTCCCCCAGAATTGTCAAGCATTGGGTAAAGAATGCAGTTGCATTACTTCCTTATTTAAATTCACTCACTTGCAGCTTTTTATACCCCAGAATCTATCTTTTCAGAGAGTGACATGAAAACACTACCACAGGAACACCATGCTTCCTTTGTGTGCAAGAGAGAGAATTGCTTTACAACCATTTGATTGTAAAGATAATAGGACACAATCAGTGGAGTGACCTACATTTATAAATCAGTTTCTGTGAGGGTTATATCCTCATCCTTTTAGTTCCAGCTTTCATGAGGAACTGTTAAAAATGAGTATGGCCCATTGAGATTTTGGTGGAACAGCCCTTTGGAACAGAAACCCCATATTACATCTCTTGTACATCACTGTAGCATTAGGAATGCTGGGGGGAAATGGTTACCATTTCTCACAAGAAAATTGTGATTACTGCCCTGTTGGCTTTGTATTAGCTAGTTAAGAAATGCCCACTCCTTCATCCCTGCCCTTTTGTTTGGAGGAAATCAGCTATTTGTGACCCACATTCATTTTAGTTAGTATGCAAGGGAAGAGCTGGCTTATATAATATAACTGTAAGAAAATATTATGAATAAATGAATAGGGATATACTTTAAGTGTTCTTTAAAGGCAACAGGAACAGAAACTATTAAAATAACAGAGCTTAAAAAGATACAGAAGGTGTCAAGCAGCCCTGCCTTGTAGCAAAGGCATGTTGAGACCTTCTGTAATTCTGCATTCTTTTAAGTATTTGAACTGTGCTCCCTAAGCTGTAGAACAAAGTTTTGTATTGTTGGCTCTTTGGCACTGTTCTATTGCTATGCATCTTTCAAATGTCTTACAGTTTTTCACGTTCATAACATACAGAATTGGGTCATTAAGTAGTTTATTGCATAGTGCGTTGTCTCTTTGCACATTTACACACCAGAAAGGGGAGCAGTGAAAAAGATGACACAATGACCAGGAAACTTTGCTCATTTCTTGCTTGCCATTTCATCATTTCTTATAGGACCTCTGACTGTTCTTGCAGGAGGACTTGTATGGATATAGGCACTGTGAATATTGCAGTCTTTCCCTTCATCCGTGTGAAAGTGGATGGACATGTGCCTTTTTTTCTGCAGTTACGGCTGTCATTGAGCATGACCTTTATGTATGAAGCATTCAAGACACCAGCAAAATATTTAAACAGTATTGAGCAGGCTGTTTTGGCTATCATAAGGCAAAATATTCTGATGTAATTTCATGCCTATGAGGTGCAAAGCATGGCTTTAAAAATAAAAGATAAGAGAAACATTGTACTATGTTCAAGACCAAATATGCAGTCCGAAAGAAGTACAATGGGTCTCTTGGAGAAAATGGCACTACAGCAGATTTTCTATCATTACTTGAGAAATTCTTCAGGCTCCCTAGGAAGCTGCAAGGAGACCACAGATTGGAGGGCAGCCTTGTTGAATGATTTTCTCTGAGAATATCAATGTTGCTTCCAGCTGCATTTCTTTCCCACCTCTTGAAGACAGACAAGGAGCAGGCTGCAGACAGTCTTCTCTTGGGACTTGAAGAGTATCATAGCTATGCATGCAATTGCACAACAGTATTATAACAGTATGCTTCCAGGAAAATGTTGATGTAGATTCTTAGGAATTCACTCCTTCAACAAGAGAAGCCTACCTGTCTTTCCACGTCATAATTATTAGTTGCCTATACATTAGAGACTTCCAAAAATATGATATGATAACTAGCTGAATGTCTTCCCCAATAAGAGATCAGTAAAATGATCTTGGTACGTGATAATAACATGCTAAACTCTCGTGTGAGATTCCTGTCCAAGGATAGAAAGCATGCGATACTCATTAATAAAAAGTATTAATAAAGATGTCTAAGCTCAGCAGATGAAAGCTTTTTGTTTCCACCTCTGTGTAGGAAGCCTGGTACTAGGCCTTTAAAAAATAAGCAATATGATCTTATACTTCTGCACATAAGAAAAATACATCTCAGCCTTAGAAGCTTATCTTTAAGGTCAGTGCCTAATTAGTAGCAGCAGAGTTGATACCAGTGTACCTCTGCCCAATAGTAAACTATATCATATATAGTATCCCTCAAAGAATATTTTAAAGACCTGTGTTTTCTTCTGTCTTGGCTTTTCTTCCTGCTCTCTTTTTCACTATAAAGAGAAGAACTAAGAATCCCTAGGAATATCAGGAAAGTGTGATTTCTCAAGATCAAAAATCTGACTCCTTTGTGTTGACTCCACAAAGAAGCTGCAGCTTCTCTTCACTTTGTGTATGCTCCCATGTGAACATCAGAAATGCTGGTGAGAGCAAATTGAGGCTGAGGTAAACAGCCTGAGCATAATCATGTAGCATGCCTTGTTTTGTGCTGTGAAAAGACTGAAAGCAATGAAAATATATAGAGGTACATGCTGATGATAGCAAGTACTGTGTCTTGCAATAGTCTGTGCATCCCAGGAGAATGCACAAAAAGCACCAAACTAGTATACCCACCGAAGTGTCTGTGTGCTTATGATAGTCTGAACAGTGCCATGGACTAGCTTACGTAATGCCTATTTCCAGAAAAGCAATTTGCATGTTTCTCCATGCAAATTCTGTGCTTTACTCTTAGGGAAAACAAGGCTTCCACAAGGTTGAGTTGACTGGGTTTGCTAGTTTCTTATAAAGTCATTGATACAAACTAAAGTAAAGGAGCCATAGTCTTTGTCCTTTGTTTGACATACAAACTTCTTGCATATCTTTTACAAAAGGAATGAGGTTACTCCTGAGCAATGAGAGATGTCACTTTGAGACAGTGCAGGAGCCAAGAGAGGAATGCCATTTTTAAGTATTTAGTGAGCACACTGAGGATCAGAAAGGAAAATGGTTGAGGCATGAACAAAAAAAGATCAACTTTTGAAGGTAAGCCAGATGAGCCTCTAGGGAGTACCTAACCTCTTGATCTTGTTATCATGCAGCATAAATCTAAGAATTGAAAGAAAATTCTTTCTGCAGGGAAGATTACTGCACAAACAGATCTGTCATAAAAAGAAAAATAAATTTCAAAGTGTACCCCACCCATTTTCCCAAATAACCATCTAAAGGAAAAATATGCCACTATAAATACATTACAGCATATGGCTGCAAGAAAAGAGCCTACTTTTAAAGATATTTCTTTAAATGACCAATTTGTTCAAAACCGGAATGCCACTGAGAGAATCCTTCTGACCTCAGTGAGACAGTGCCTGCAGGCAAAGGCAGGATTTGTCAGAAAATTTACAATGTAAGCAATATTCAGATTCTGTTCTGAAAGTTTTGACCTCTATTCTAGCTATCCATCTATAATTCAGAATGCACTTGTTTCTTCTAGTATGATATTCTGTCCTTGTGCCTACGCATTTGTGCCGTTCTGTCTTAACATGCTTCCCTAACCAATGCCCTTTGGATTGCATGTCTGATTTCCTGTAAGCCTTACTTATCCCTCAGGAAAGTACATTCTTCTTTTTATCCCCTAATTCAGAGGTTGGAGAGCTGATCCCAGAAGAAGGAACGGCTGCTTCTGGCTGGGTTTTGTTTTGATTTTACTCTTGCTCACAATAGCTGTAATTAAATTCAAAGTGTAAGGAGAGACAAAAGAAACATTTTTTGTTGTGAGCTGATGAAAGGAACGTTCACTAATACCCTGCCAGTGTTTGGAGGAGGAGGTCTGTGAAACTTAGAGCAGCAAGTGGGGGAAACAATGAATGCCTTTGTAAGCAAAAAGCAGAAATACATGTCTAGGGGAAGACTACTTTAAAAAGATTTTTCATCTGTTGGAATAGAACAGAAGCAGAGCTAACCAATTTTACAGTATTATATTGGATACTTGTTTCAGTGTTTGTACACTGTAAGTAAACAAAGTGTGCAGTGTTATTTAATTTTTTGTTTAGTGACAAATATGTGGACAGTAACAGCCAACCAGTGATTAAGCTTAATTTTTCCCTTCTATGGGGAATTTTGTTATCAAGTGTTCGAGAAACGTGGTAATGGGCATCTCCCATCTTCCAGCAGATTCCCAAAGACCTATAAACTCACTGTTTGTACCTCACATCTACGCCCCTGTTAAGTTTATTATCCAGCATTTTGATGGTACTTGAAAGTGCAGCCAGTCTGCCAGGCATCTAATAGGGATGAATTCCTCTCTGGAAATGTGTAAGTGATCATAGGCATTGGAGGTTCTTTCATTTGTGTTACTTTGGTGATTGAGATAGCTGCAAATTGGCAGTGGTGTGCAGAGCATTGAAAGACCGTTCTTTTCAGTCAGATATTATATAGAGAGTTCTGCCTCTAATACACATATGAGTACATCCTTTTTCAGTGCCACTTTCTCTTGGATCAAAGTCCTGTTACTCAGGAAAAGTTCACTCTCAGAGTTGCAGTACATTGCCATGAATGTACATCCATGTTTTCCTGTGTCAGACAGCTATCTGCATCCTCCGTGAGGGGAGCTTTATGTTAGAAACTGCTCTCTTTGTGAACCTCATACAGCTGTGGGACATGGTCAAAATTAATAAGTGATGCAATATTGAACCTTCAGAGGTATTTATTTTATTTATTTTATTTATTTTCAGTGTCAAGGTAAAACTTATGCTGCACTTTCCAGTCATGAAAGTATGTTACAGTATGTCCAAAAGCTCTGTCACTTACCTGCTCAATGGAAGGACACAGGAAATCAAATTCCTTGTGCATTCACTAATTTTTTCCCATTTTTTCCATATCCCTAGAGAGAAGATGTATGAATCTATAGGCACCCATTTCACACTTCAGCAAAGTTAAATTTAAGTACTTCTTGAACAAAGAGACTCCACAGTGTAGTTCAGATTCTTTTTTTGACATTGTAGAGCCTCTTATAAGTACTTACTATGGCTAATTGCAGCAGCTCAGGGTAAAGAAGAGCACATTAATTTAGTCCACATATGACTGAATGCCAAAATACTTATCTCATGAGAGGAAATAAAAAAGCCTCCACATTCTCAATGGAGACTCTGAAGACTGAGCAGTGTGCAATCACATGTGGGAGGGTGTTGTGCAGTGTTGTGTCATGGTGGCTGGTGAACTCTAATCACATCCTTCTGCTCCTCTTGAGGATGTCAAGAGCCAGACAAGCTCTTTTACTGATTAACTTCAAGAAGTTTGAGATTAGGTCTTTCAAACTGTGGGGGAATCTTTTGCCACTCTGCTTTTATTTTGGATATTTCAGGTTTGTTGTGGAATTTGTCTTCCAATGACCAGCTGAAGCACCTGTTGGTTAAAGAAGCCCTACATACCCTGACAGAAGCTGTTCTCATCCCTTGCTCTGGCTGGCCAGATCGAGATTACCCCAAGTCAAGTGTGTTACCTGACCCTGATATCTTCTACAATGCCACAGGATGCCTGAGGTGAGCATTCAGTTCACAAGTACCTAAAATAAAGTGATGTTAAAACAGGCCTGCACACATGCATTTTCTTGCTTACTTTGAACTGTGATGGCACCAAGAGAAGAGTTTGCATACAGATTGGTAAGTAACTCAATTAGGAAAAAAGTCATTTTTGAATCAAAATTAGCCACATCCAACTTTTTGCACAAGTTCAAATCTATCAAGGCCAGGCTGCAGCCATGGTGTTGATGAACAGAATTACATTTGTGCATCTACTACTGCAGTCAGCCTCATGAACATAGTACGATTAGAACAGAGAAACATAGTACAAAAGACTACTAAGGTAGACCCACCCCTAAATGACAGAAGTATAAAAGTCACGTCTTTAAAATGGGATACACCTTTAAAAATAACAACCTATTAAAGTGTGACCCCTTTGTGTCTCTTGTGAATTCTAAGTCATTGCACTTTAATAAAATGCAGTTATTGTGAGTATCAGAAATATGTGTCTTTTGTTTACATGAAAGAACATAGTCTGGAAAAAATAAGGAGTAATGGTATAAGTGACAAGGCATGGCCTAAGTTTTAAACTCTTTTTAGTAAAGTACGAGGAATTAAGTTCAAAATTCAGAGGCTTGGGAAACTGCCTGGTTCTGCCTTGTACATAACTGTTTTGCTGACATGTCCAGCAACAGAGTGATTGCATTGGTAAGCTATGAATTTGTACTGGGTAAATAGTCCTGTGTCTGACTCATGAGTGATTTCAGAGGACAAAGGATTGTTAGCGATACAAAATACACATCAGAAAGGTTCTGTCAGCCCACCAACTACCAAACAACTTCAGGTTTAAGTAATAATTAACTTTTATCTTTCTTTGATAGCTCAAAAACAAATACAGAGAAACATTAACTACCCATAATAAAATCACTTTGGCTAGTGGTGTTGTCTGTGAAATGAAGCAGATCATATTTTTTTCATATGAATTTGCTCGAGCTGTTTTGTACATAAACCAGCCTGGTTGGATATGCCACTTTATACCTGCTCCTGCTTTGGAGCAGAATTATTCGTAGTTTTAATGTGGTATTGCTCTTTCTGAGGTTGTTGTAGCAACTTGACACCACTTGGTATATGAGAAATAATGAGTTACAGTAGCTGGGTTGTTTTAAATGAAAGAAAAGTAGATTCTGAATGTATCTAACTGTAAAGAAAGTGAGTAGGGCTGCTCTAAAGCTGCAGATAGTTCTACAGCCTTAATGAAAGTCTCTCAAACTGACCTTTGCCCAAAGATACATTGGCTATTTAAAAAAGTATGATGTCCATGTTCTAGTCCTTGTCATTTTAAAATGGTCAAACACTGTGAATTGTAACCGAGAGGTGAATAAGATCTTGAAAATTCACAGGTAAAGTTGATTTGTAGGATTGTCGACATACTTTCTTGCAGCAAATAGATTTTAATGAGACTTATATTTGCACAGACCAGAAATCCAAGATTTTTATATGAAATAATTTGCTTCTCTTTATTCCTAGAAGTATTACATAGAGGTATATCAGAAGTATTCTTTACTTATTTACTATTTCAAAATAACATATTTGCACAAAATCTATAAGAACAGCATATTACAAAAACAAACAAAAAAAACAAGAAAGCAACTGTAAATGGAGGGAATGATGATACTTATAAAGATGTTTAAAGAGTAAGTTAATGTGCCAGAGTATAAATCTGTAATTAGTGTTCCCTTTTGTAATACTAACGTTTGTTGTGCATGTTGATAAAGTTTATAGCCTGCAGCTTCTATTACAGAGTAAAAATAGAACTTTGAAGTGCATGCATCATGCATAGTACAGTGCTTAGGTATAGAAGAATGCCAGAATTTCTTTTCAAAAAGTTGTGTGCAACCATTGCCTGACAGTCAGCCACAGTCCAAATCTAACACTGTCATCTGACAGGGTGCCACGTACTTACCAACTTATAAATTAAAGCTCTCTTGAACAGCGTTTCAGGACAGAAAGGGAATCCACATCTAGCAGATAATATTGCAGATGCTAGAATTGGAATGAATGAACAACCAGAACACTCCCTATTCTGCAAACCAGTAACTGCAAGACATATTGTGGAATCCCAAACTTCAGCTCCCTGGGTCTGTACATTCACTTACTGATAAGGAGCTGAACAGATTTGTTAATCCCATTCTCAAGATCTGCTTTTTGTCCTAAAGCTTTGCTTCTGACAGTTTCACAGAAACTGTAGGTCACAAAACTTTACAGATCAAAATGAAGCTGCGTACAATGCAAAATTTAGCATTGACAGTTAGAATAAATGATGGTATTGTTCAGTCCTGAAATATGATAAAAATCATTGTGCCCTGAGCATGTGGAGTAAAGCAAATCAAAAGACTTCTCTGGTTGTCTGACAAAAGCCAATTAAGTAAAACTGGTGTATTAAACTGCAGACTTTCACAGACAAGACAACTCTTGCTGTTTTTTTGCATAATAGTACTGTCTCCTGTTCCAATATGAATGGATTGGCTAAGTGGAGATATTTAGCTTCCTCCTCCATATTCTTCCTCCAAGTCTGAAAATGCAAGATGCCAAAAGCGTGCAGGATATATGGGTTTGAATATTATTATACAAAAGTTTGGGATGACTTTTCCTGTGAATTAAAAGGAAGGTTTAGTAGAAGGCTTTCTATTATACTTTGAATGCTGATAGTGATCTTGTGGTGTTTTTTCCTTGAAATACCTGTTCCAAAAGTTTTGCAGTGCAAGATATTTCCATTATTCAGGGACAGAACGTGATCTGCTGAAGCTGCTAATGGGAACATTATGCTGGGTGTTGCCTTGAAGGACTGAACTTTCTAGAATTGATGTTTACAGGTTGCACCTCTTTTTGCAAAGTATTTTATTTTAGGTGCTGGAGCTAATGGTTACATTTGCTGAGTTTCCCTGGAGTCCTCCTTTAAAACTGCTCTGTAACTGGACTTTCCTGTAGCCCTATGTACCCTAATTCTTCAAAACTTCTCAGACAGCCATTTTCAGAAAAGTCAGCTAACCATTGCTCATGGTTCCCCAGGAAGTAAAATAGATACCACACTTCATTTTTCATCACTGTTGTTGTTCTATTGTCTGTCCCAGCTCTATTTTACCTGTGACAGTGACCCATAGAGACTGGAAAGCTGTAGTCTGAGAAAGTGCTATCATTGTACTTTAGACCAGGAAGCTGCATAACCATCTCATTTCATTTAATCATAGATAAGTAAGGCCAAAGCTCTTATTATTAGTTGAAAATGTAATGGCAGCTCAAGCTTGTAATGGAAGGTTCTAACTGAAGTTGTAGAACAAAGGACTAATGATAACAAGCTTTTGAAGCAAGGCCTTTTGCACAGCATTGCCACTCCTTTCGGTTTATTTCCATCCATTCTTATCTTCTTGTGTCTACTCATTAGTCTGTCTGCTCCCCCAGGCCCTGAAAGGAATTTTGCTATTTCCAGAAAGCAGCTTGCAGCCTGGTGCCTAGTGTTACTGTGTAAATCTATAGATTCCTTTCCTCCCCTGTTGCAATTTTAAATTGTGTAAGGTATGAAGGGAATACAGTTTCCTGAAGTAATTCAGGAACATCATGAAGCAATTCAGGAGATTGTTGTCACATAATTGAGTTAAATTCAAATAACCAGTTTTGGCAGAATGAGTCCCAGGAGCAAAAGCCACCTTCTTATCAGTAGTATGGATCATTCACAGCAATGCGAAAGCCTCCTCTGATGTCTGCGAGTGTGTGACTCAGTGCTGGCTTAAAGGGAAAATCCCTTTCATTTGGTTCAATTTGCAACGTAATTGAATATGTTGTCATTCTGTTTCTGTGAAAATCATGTTTGATTTTACTATGTTAAAATTCTTTGTACTTACCTCACCTGGATCATAAAATATTTCCCAGCAGGGTACTAGCTGATCCTCCATCAATGACACTGAAACATGGGAAGATGGCTGCGTCAGTCACAGTTACACCATGCATGGTGTGAGATGAATGAGGCCTGTAGATAGTTACATGCATCCACTTTAGCATGCAGTATAGTTTGGGCATGTCACCAGGATTAGCATATTTAAGCATGCCAGAAGTCAGTCATAATGGCTAAATTATATCAAAATTTAAGTTCTAAGTCTCTCAAAGGAGAGCATTCCTACAAGCAGCAGCTCCCTCTCTCATGTTGCACATTCCTAACTATTCAGTACTGATGCGAGGCAGAGGTGTCAGGAGTTGTATAGCAGAAGAGGTTTTTTACAGCAATATGTTTGATCTTGACTGCAGTTCTTTTTTTCCACAGATGTATTTGTCTCAGTATACTCTGATGAAGTGCAAGGAAAACAAACTTGCATACGAAACTTTAAGATTTCTAGGTAGCCCTGGGATCTCGACATGAGCTTGCCAGGAGCTGCAGTTCTGAGCCAGGTCAGAATGACAATTGCCCATTTGCTCAAGTGGTGGATATTTCAAGGCCTCCAGGAGCTCCACGGCAAGAGAGTTAAACTCCTGAGCTCAGAGGGAAGTGCTACATTTGTCAGGAGCCTCAAGTCTTGGGAAGGCAAGATGAAGTCAATTTTGAAGTTTTCTAAGAAAAATGTTGCCATTGTTTCAAAATGATATTCTTTTTTAATATGAATTTACTCCTATATGATGCTACCCAATCCTGAAAATCAAATCTGACCCCATTCAAAGTGGTTCCAACTGTAATTGGACAATCTGGAGAGTAGGAGCTCTTCCCAGTCCACGCTGTGGTAATAAGGAGAGAGAGGGAAGTGGAGCACAGCACAGCCATATATGTACGCAGACACACACAGTGGTATTTCTGTCTGGATAAAAAGTTGAGTGCCAGCAACTCAAGGAAAGTAGTTCAGTGATTCATTTCCTTTGCAGAACACGGCAGTGCCTCAGCTTCATGTTCTTCTCTGCTTCCTGTGCTATAAAGCTGTTTGCCACTCCATAGTCATGCTGGATGGCAAGTATAAGTGATGGTTTTTCCTTGCACAACCATTCAGAATGATGATAGTTGTCTAAAGTTCAGTGATTTTTGTGCTGTGACAAGATGAACTGCCCTATCAGCCTAAGGTCTTCAGTGGGGGAAATTCCACACTTATCTTTTAATGGTATTTTTAGTTTGTGCACCTCAGAAACTATTTGTGCTATGCACTAGAAGAGCTGTTAGCATGTACACGTCTGTCAGCATAGCCATAAACTGTTGAAAGGACAACATGACTCAAATGTGACTTACTAAGGTAAAATTGAATTCCAAAGTGTTGCCATATTGAGGAATCTGAATATTAATTCTGTGATATGTAATTCCACAAGAACATGAATGAACTCATAAATAGGAACCTTACTAACAGTATGACCTAAAGCTGTAATTACAGTGCATTAATATTTAAACTAAATATGTGCTTCCCAGGAGGAGGGGATAAAACTGCATTGGCAGTATGTAGAAAATATCACGTGTATTTTATTATCATAAGCCACGGGAAAGTTTAAAGCTGTGCCTTTCTGGCTCTGTCATTAATAACATTTTAAACTGTTGTGTTTTCCAGAGGGTAAATAAGAGGGTAAAGTAAACTCCCTGAAATTATTTAAAGAACATGACCCTCTTTGTGATAGATACTAACACTGAGCTGGATTTAATGTTATTTCAGACAAAGCAGGAATGTGATATTGTATTCAGCCTTTTGGCCAATGGAGCAGCAGGAGGCCAGAATAATGAGGTCGAGATTTATAACTCCAGCATTCCATAATTCAGAGGCCATTCAGTTGTAAAAATAATTATACCTCAAAATGAAGTGTTGTTACTTCCCTGATAATCAGTAGCTTATTTTGAGCCAGACTTCAAGCAGGAAGCATGTCCTTAGCTTTTCAAGGGTTTTTAAATGGCTTTCATAATTCATTTTCAAGTTGCACTCAGGTTACCACAAAGCACAGAAATGTGAGCAGAAAGTAGAACATATAGCGTCTTCTTTTGAATCTGGAGGAGGCAGACAGCATGTGCAGCAGTCCCTGAGCCACTGTTGTAGAATAGCAGAAGGCATCAGCAGAGAGCATCTGGCATTTCCCTCGCTTGGACTGAGCAGTTTCTAGTGGCTTCAGCTTTGTCTACGTAGGTGCCAGGAGCCAGAAGAATGCTCTCGGAAGCAGCAGAGTGCAGTGTGTTTCTAACTCTTCTTTGTCCCTTCACATCTCCTCTGCTGAACACTGCAGGAGCAACGGGAGGCACATGGGTAGAAGGCACTGCACTGAGACTGTTTTTAGCTGGGTGGGGAAACTATTTACTGCTAGGACAACCTAAGCATCTCTACAGAGGTGTATGAGAAAACATTTGATGGAGAATTAGAAAGATTTCATAAAACTCTTCAGAAGACATGCTCTTTTCCATCCTTTCTACATGTCTTTTTCTGTAGGTAAGGGAAAACAAATATCAGTAGTAATGGGTCTACTGTCCTCATGAGAATGTGAGACAGAATGGCAAAAAAGCAAACTGAGGAAAGGTGCCCTGCCACAGGCTGCCCAGACAGATTGTAGATGCCCCATTCATGGAGGTGTTCAAGGCCAGTCTGGATGGGTGGCAGCCCTGCTCCAGGCAGAGGGTTGGAGCTGCATGGGCTTTCAGGTCCCTTACAGCCCAAACCATTCTGTGACTCTGTGAGCTCCCCATTGGCAATAGAAGATTTAGGATTTGCACACTGCTCAGCTGGCACTGACTCCAGTCACTGGACGCCTTGCAATGCATCACTTGTCTGCTCGTCTCGAGCTCAGTCTGCAGGCTCGGCTTTCTCTCCCTTCCTTCTAATAGCACATGGAGTGTTTGGTGAATTTGGTCCCATAGCTGAAATCAATCATCTTCAATTTGAGAAAGTTGGGTTTACTCTGCGGTTCATTTACAAGCACAAAAATGAACTTAGGCAATAAAGACACAGCTGTTTCCTGTTTTCCAGAACTTTTATAGCTTGTGTGTAGATGCTGCTAAAACTCTCAGAACTTATGTCTGTTGGTGGGTGATCAAGAATGACTTTGTTTAGGTAAATGTTAAAAGAAGACTTTTTTTTGAAAGGAAGTTTTCACAAGTACTTTTCCTCTGGTAGTTTGACATAGCCAATGTCACTGATATTAAAAGCACAGCTTAAAGTGGAATATTTGGGGGAAGAAAAAGTTCAGTTTGTTTGTTTAGAGCAGATTACATCGAGATGAAGACTGGAATCGGGGCATGCCTTATCCATCTAAACACAACAGCTTGTTTTAATTTGTTATTTATTATTGTCTGGGAATGCACTAAAATTGAAGTTTTATTTAACAGAGTCTCATATTATTGTACAGCCCTACAGAAAAGAAGCAGTCATCCTTAACTTTGCTATTTTAAGGTTTATCTGGAAAAGTTTGTCAGAGAGGCACAATAAAATATCTTCAAGTAAGTCTCTTCTTACCAGTGTATTTCTTCCTGCACAGAAACATGAGCTCTGCTGGCCCAGAAGGAAGGAAAAAGATGAGAGAGTGTGACGGTCTGATTGATTCTCTTGTGTATTATATTCAAGGAGCTATTGCAGACCACGAGCCTAATGACAAGGTATTCTTCAAGATGGAAGGTCTTTTCCTATGGGAAATCACTGAGAGCAAGTTTTTGTTTCAAAACCAGTATTCAGAAAGAGTTGTGATGTAGCTGCCAAATTTATACTTATTTCCAATGCTTTTAGAACTGCTACCAAATATCAAAAAGAAGCTTTTAAAAAAAAGTTCAAAAAGAAGCTTTTAAAAGTGTTTTTTATCCTGCTGTCTAACATAATAACATACCTTGGCTTTAGGAAAACAGTCTTAAGGATCATCACAGAGAACTAGAAACTTTTAAAGATTCAGATATTACTTTTTTTGCTTGTTTAAGGAAGCTAGCTAGCTAGAAGTTTTGAAGAATTAATATCTGAGCACTTTCCTGAACAGGAAATGCTATATGTCCCTTCAGAAATGCAGAACCTAAATCTGCGTAGCAAAGTAATTAGAAGTTTATGTCATTTAGAATAGAATTCATTTTCCTACATTTTTTTGTAAGGTAAGCATTCAACCTAAGCCAGTAACTGCAAGGATGTGGACAATTCCAAAAGACAGGTTTTCTCCTTCCTCTTAACGCTGACTGCAGATGAACCCTGAACATTGCTTAGACTAGATGTTTGTCTTTTAGGTGGGTGAAGTTAGGTGAGAAGACCAGCAGCCACTTACGAGGTTAACCATAGCCTGTGAGGCACTTCTGATGTGCCTGCTATAACTTGTGCTGTGTAGTGGTAATTACTGTGTATTTGTAGTTCTTTCCTGGGATTAGTTACTTGATCTTCTCCATCTCCTTGCATTCAGAGCCAGTAGCTCCAGGGAGAATCCAGCACGTAACGCTTGTGTCAAGAGCTCCCTGCTGCATTTTGTCCTAAAACCACTCATCCCCTTTTTTACTTTCAAAAAGTGAAGAACTGGTAATGAAACTATTTGCCACTGAACTCATCATTCAGAAATCGTCAAGTCCTTAAGTCATGCTTAGAATCATAGAATCATAGAATGGCCTGCGTTGAAAAGGACCTCAAAGATCATCTAGTTTCAACCACCAAGCCATGCACAGGGTCGCCAACCGCTAGACCAGACTGCCCAAAGCCACATCCAGAAAGGCACATCTAATTTTATTTTTTTTTTTAATGGCATTCTACCGCACACAAAAAAAAATGTGCTGTATCCTTTGGAAAGATACAAAGCTTTCCTTTAGCTGACACTGACTAGATGTATATGTGTTCATTGCTGTTTTTAAGCTTCTGTGCATTCCTTGGCACACTTTTGGCCTGTACCAAACAGCACGTGCCCAAACAAATCCTAGATACATTCAGGAATTATAATGTCCCAGGATCATTTCCAACAGATATGCACCATGCTCTGAATGCAAGCCTTGTGTGCCAGTTGGCCTGAGTGCTTAGGAACATCTCAGGACGTGTTTAATTTCTCAGAGTAAAAGCAGTCTTGTGGATCACTGGCATGAAAACTGGCTCTTCTTTAAACTATTATAAACTATGCAGTTAATTGTTTAAGATCCAAAAATGAAGTTCCTTGTCTATACATGTCCCTTCAACACATGCCGTTGCTTCCAAATTTTCTATTCTTTTGTTATTTTAGGCCACAGAAAACTGTGTGTGCATTCTTCACAATCTTTCCTACCAACTAGAGGTAGAACTTCCTGAAAGCTACACCCAGAGCATCTATGTACAAAGAAGAAATATTTCTACCAATGATAGAACACCAGGCTGTTTTGGAACAAGAAGCAGAAAAGTGAAAGAGGTAAAGTGCATGTTTTATTACATCTCATTTTCTTAATCAGTTGTAGCAACTTCTGGAGAATATAAGGCTGTGATCTAATTAGGTTGCTTCTCTTTTGGTGATGCATCTGATAATGTGACACTCATCCTCAAAATGTAAATTTATCAATAGCCTTCTAACATCCATTATCTTATTAGATGTCTGATGGAATAAATGACAAAACAATTTAGTTTCATTAGTTGAGAAATACTGCCTCTCAGCTTCATTACCTGATGGACCTAACTGGTGTCTGCACCATTTTCAGCAATTGTGCAAGTGTCCTACCAATGATTGGATATTGCAGCAGTTTCACAAATGGAATTAGCACACATTGATTTGCCTCCTCTGCTTGCTAGCTTTCAGACTTCTTATTTTGATGCTGTGTGATACAGATCCAAATATTCTGGTAACTGGAATTGCTGGAGAGAAAAACAGGTACCAGGGAGGGGGAAAAGGAAATAAAACGATTTGTGCTCCTCCCCCATCCATTATTTTTGCTGGAGTCTATTCCTTCTCCTGTTCCATCCAGAGTCTAGCTTTAGCATACTATTTCTCTCTCTCCTTCAGCTCATCTCCCAACGTCAATAGCTAGAGATGCAAAGCATCTTCCCCTTCGCCTATCTCCCATTTTCAGATGGAATGGTCAGTACAGTTAAATACTGGAATTTTACATGTTGCCATTACTGTTCTCAACTTGATACTTGCTGGAGCTTAAAATCTAAAGGAGTGTGAACATGGATCTTCTGGTCATCAGTAGCATAATTTCAATTCATGCAACAAAGTCAGACCTGTTCTTAGACTATGAATGCTAAGGAAAATGTAATTATTGCAAATTAAACATACTTTAATCAGTCACCAAACATATCCATATTCCTATGACAAGAAGACTATAGCAGTGAGTGCTCTTGGCTACGTGTTATCAAATAGCAGGATCATCTCTCCTGGAGAATACATCTCTATTTCTCCACATCAGATTACTTCAGGTTCATTCCCTGAAATCATCAAAGATAACAAATGTTCTCACACATGAGCTGATTGATAGGTAAAAATTCTTGTTCCATCATGACTATCCAATTGCCATGTTTCAACTCGTGATTGATAATAGATCTTGGGATATTATATGAGTACTTTTTAACCAATATCCTAACATATGATAGTAAAAATGAAAGTATTCTTTACTTTCAATTGCAGTCCCTAATTTAGCTAACAAAAATGGTAATGAAAACAAGGAAATAAATATTTATCTTAGAAAAAGAACATGAATCATCTTTTAATTCATTTTTAGGCCCTCTGATTATTAAAATATCAGTGATAATACAACAATAAATGACTGTCTTAAAATAATGTTCGCTTTCATTCTCATGAAAATTCTCTGTAGTGAGCTCTGCAGAATCATCTGGTCACAATTGCTGAACATGGTGCAGACACCAGTTAGGTAATTGCTTGTTTAGATTGTGATGCATTATGTCATATAAGGTTACTGGTTCTAACAGCTGATCTGTTTACATGTTTAGAAGCAGCAGGACACCCCACTACCTGAGGAAAAGAGCAATCCCAGAGGTGTGGAATCACTCTGGCATTCCACACTGATTAGAATATATCTCTCCTTGATAGCAAAGAGTACCAGAAACTATACACAGGAAGCATCCCTGGGAGCTCTTCAGAACCTCACAGCTGGTACTGGACCAGTAAGTCAACTTTCTTCTTTTTCTTGTCACTTAGTTCTTGATGTAAATGCATAGACTTTAGGGCTGCAGTTGCAACATGCTCACAGCATGGAGCTCAGATAACTACAGGCAAATCACTGGCTTCCAGACACAGTGAAATCAAAGAACTTTGAAGAGAAAGTCATAACCAACACTGCAGATATTTCCTGCTTGACAAATAGGAGGATCACTTATTTTTACTTTGTGTCCACATCTGGAATTTGCTAATTTGTTGCACAGTGAGGGATAAGTCAATGCTAAAAGAGTCAAAAAAAGTGGATTTGTGGAACAAAATCAGTCCCATGGAGAGAGGAATTCTTTGGCACAACTACACATCCCTTTCATGGTTTAGAAATTAATGACCTATATTATGATTTTGATGAGGCACTGCCCAAGGAGCATGTGGGAAACAGTAGGCTTGAAGCTTCTTTTTTATCACCTTCCTCTTCTCTTTCAGCTCATACCTAGCTCCAGATCTAAACTGTCTTAAATACAGAGAACCTACTGCTGTTGTTTCTGAGGCTATACATTCATGGTAATGACACATTCTTGCCAAATGCCTTTATAACAGATGCCGTTTGCAGTGGCCCAGACTGTCGTTCGGAAGGCAAATGGCCTTCCAAGTATTCGAGCTATGCTGCATGTAAGCCACCCAGCAGTAAAGAAGACAGCAGTCTCACTGCTCAGGAACTTGTCTCGCAACACCTCTCTGCAAAATGATATAGGTGAGCAGAGACTAATGCTGTCTCTTGGGCTTTCTTTCTCGTCTTTCCTTACTTTAACCTTTCCCTCTTTGAAAAAGAAATTTACAAAAAAACTGGTATGTGAATTTTAACAGTAATTTAGGTTGATTGCTTGATTCTTTATATGGGATTGAAAATAAAGGTTTTGTCTAAGAATGACTCTAACCTCGAAGTTTTTCAACATTGTGTATTCCTCATTAGATACTTCCAGTGATGTTACATTCAAAGTAGTAAAATATACATAGATTTGAACAAAGGCTTTCTTCCACTTAAAATAGGGTAAAGGTAAGAAAATGCAGAGTTCTGTGCTGCCACAACTATGTAATAGAACATCTCTAGTTACTCTAGTAAAGATCTTCTTGTAGACATTCTTCTTTCTTCTTGTAGACATAAAACTTTGCAAGCTCACTGCTTCCATGGTTTCTCTGCATAACTTTTTTGAGAAGTTAGAAGATTTCTCTACAGAGAAAACCACCAGTTATTTCTGGAGGGTGTTATTTATGAAATGTTATAATTATTTTCACATCAGAAGCCATTTCTGTTCCAAGTATTTTCATTTCTATTTAATTTATATTTGAATATTTTTCCAGCTGATAGGATAAGGTGAATTCACATCATTCATTGTCCTTTTCTGTATTCCTACTGAAGGGAAAAGAGGAAACTACAGGCATAAAGCTGATTTATGGAATGAATTAGCACCCAGAATTCTGCAGAACACTCTTCTGGTCACTGATTAATCCTTAGAGAGCGTTCCCTATTAATGAAAATATAACAATATGTTGTTAGATTGCTTTCAAGAGGATAATGCATAGGATGTTAAAAATTACAAGTGTTGAATCCTCCAGAAACATAGGAATTAGCCTGAGAGGAAGAGGTCAGGTTTTTTCTTAGGGAAAAACAATCTATAAAAGAATGTAGAAAAGGCAGAATAGCATGAAGCTCTGGAGAAAGGTGCTTAAACTTCACTGTTGTTTATTGCTTTACCCACAGTAATGAAAATGAGGGGAATTTCAGATGAACCTTTCCTCAGTGAAAAAGAGTTATTTTTGACTGGCATGTGGATTCAAGTCAAACTCTCCTACCATTTTGGCCAAAGGAAAGGAAGGACATAATTTTCCTAGATAAAAGTGATTCTATTCAGCAAGTGAAATTAATGTTTGATTTCAAATTGAGATAAGTTTCATATAAAACATATCTGGAAATAAAATGATTTTCAGGCTTCCTGAAAACCTTCTTACTTGATTTACCAATAGAAAAAAAATGGACATAATTGCTTTGTCTGATATTTATCATAGCAGGTGGCTTATTCAGTTTTAAAGAAGTCCTTATCTGAACTGTATATAATTTAATCTCACTGTAAACAAACTTTGTCACAACCTAGAGTAAAGAACAGAAGAGTGAGCAAGACATTCTCAGTACAAGAGGTATGCTGAGTGTAGAGGGGCAATATGGCCTCACACTGGATAATTCCTTCCTCACATGCTTGCAGCTACTTCCCAGTGCTGCTTCTTACATCAGGAGCAGCTGGCTGCAGCCTGTTGCTGACTGCTGTAGTCTTTTCCATCAACTCTGAACATGGACCAGTCCATGTGGCATAGTCCTCCACATTGTCCCAGTCCTCATAATATACATACAACATACACAATACATATGGCTGGTAGAATCATATACAACGTGGTCAAAATAATGAAGTGTTCTTTGAGTAGAAGAAGACTTCCAAGAATGACATTCTTCTTAAATATAAGTAACTTAGGTTCAATGTGTGCATCCCCCTATAGCCTACAATTGTCAAATGCAACATTAAAATCTCAGTTTGTGGTGTACTACTAAATCCATGTTTACCTATAGACACACATTTCCTCAGGAAGTAGTAGCCTCTTGCTTTCACACAGCTAAGGACTTCATTGCAGTACACTAAGTATTAATGTATTGTGCATAAGAAGCAAAATATGCACTGTACAATTTCATGTGGATGCAGCTACCTAACTGTGGGGATATAAAGCAGCTATGAAATCATTACTCTTTTCGGAGAGCACACAGCACTGTGATAGACAGTAATGGGAGGACTAGTGTCTCATAGGAATCCTAGGTAAATATTAATGTAGTAGTAAGTAGTAAATGTAACCAGTTAGTAACGGAGTTTTCTGTCTTCCAACTTCTAGCTAGAGAAGTTTTGCCAGATTTGGTCTCGATACTTCCTGACTACGTCCCAGGGTCTGATATTGCTTGTGAAACCACAGCTTCTGTCTGCTACACTTTATACAATTTGACACAGAGCAGTTCTCACAATGCACGGCTTCTCCTAAATGCTGGTGGCCTGCCAAAGATCATTGCCATCAGCATGAACGACAGGTAAGATGGTTGAGAAGCCTTCCCCTCTCCTCCCTCCTTTCCTTCAGGAAAAAAAAAAAAAGAAAAAGAAAATGCAACCTTTTCCACTTGAGAGGAAAATACTGCATCTTAAGGTACAGGATAGATTGAAAGGGATGGCAATATGAACAGAATTACATATATTAGAAAACAAAGAAAAATCTCTTGTAACATCTCTTCCATCCACAAAGGAATGTGCTGTGTTCCAGTTCTTTAAATATTACCTGCAAAGATGAAGGCACATTATCTATATTCTAATATACATAGTGGCAGGCTATCAGATTTTATCTGTCCCCAAAACAGTTTATTTCCTGTCCTTTGTAGCACAGCTCTGATAACCTTTAAACATTAGCATGGGAGTACATTTGATAGAAAAGATAGAGCTGTACGTAAAAATTATGTGTAGAGTTTCATTATAGGTATAAGTCCTGAATTTTCTTTAATAATTCTTTAATATTTAATCACATGTAACCAACATTTAATCAAAATAGAATACTGATTTATGAATAGGAGTAATTATTCTGTTTGCCTTCTTTCTGAAGAAATTCGTCTCAGTAAAGGAGGACTAATTTTGTCTAAATAATGAGACATTTTAACTGCTTGGGAAGATCATTCAGAATTATTCTGAGGTGCAACTTCTCAACTGAATTTTAATACTATGACATGTGCTGCAAGATTAAGTCTATAGTGTACTTAATTTCTCTCTAATTTTGATGAATAAATGAAGTGGAGATGTATGTTTCATTTTCTTTAGTAGTCAGGACAGCATGAGATTGTTAGAATACCTAAAGAGCAAGAAAGAATCATTTGGAAGGACAGAGAAAGAAAAATATATGAGGTTATAATATCTTAAGTCTCTACATACACTGTGTTTAAGAAGTGGGAATTTAAATATATTTTATCATTCTTTTTACAAAATTTCAGTAACATGTTCAGCAAAGCTAGTAAGGCTGCTTCAGTCCTCCTCTACTTCTTGTGGGCACATACTGATCTCCACAATGCTTACAAAAAGGTAAGACTCGTCTTATAGCAAAGACATTTAATTTGTCATTTCAGTTGTAGATCCCTCTCATTTGTTCCCTGGGGCCCGTAGCACCTCTGCAGTGTTTCTTGGTAGGATTTCGGGGGGTTACTGAATTTGGCACTTCTCTTACTTGTGTGTAGCAGGGCCAGCAGGTCAAGGGAGATGATTCTCCCTTTCTGCTCTGCTTTGAAGGGACCCCACCTGCAATACTGCATTCAGTTCTGGGGCCCTCAGCATACAAAGGACCTGGACCCATTGAATCAGACCCAAAGATGAGCCACAAGGACGATGAGAGGCCTGGAGCACATCTCCTATGAATATATGCTGAGAGAGTTGGGGTTGTTCAGCTTGAGAAGAGATCACATTGCAGCCTTCCAGTACCTGAAAGAGTCCTACAGGGAATCTGGAAGAGACGCCGTTGGGAAGAGTAGTAACGGTACAAGGGACAACAGTTTTAATTAAAAGAGCATATATTTAGATTAGCTATTAGGGAAAAGTTCTTCACTCAGAGGGTGGTGAGGCACCAGAGTGTGTTGCCAGAGAACACGCCCATCTCTGGAGGTGTTCAAGACCAGATTGGATGGGGCCCTGGGCAACCTGATCTAACGGTAGGTATCCCTTGTCTATGGCAGGGGTTGGGTGTTGGATGATCTTAAAGATCTCTTCCAACCCAAACCATTCTATGATTCTGTGATAATGCTGCACAAGCAATGAATGCTCTTCAATTTGCTTACCAGTGTTTGTATTCTCTCCCTTTCTGGTTTTGTACGCACTAGCAAACTTTATGAAGAATAGTGCTGCTTCCTGCTAGAGCAGTCAGATAGTGAGAAGTGATACTCAGTAGATAGCCACCCACCACTGACCAAACCAGTCTGACACAGAGGGCATAAGTTGCCAGAAAAATCAAAGGAAGGGCAAAACAACTTCTTATTTTAAACCCACAGTTTTATTCTCCTTGTTTTCTCTGCCGTCTGTAAGCCCACATGTCAGTTACATTCAAACAAAACGGTACAGCCAGGGAAAGGTTTGGCAAACATATACTGTCATAGTCAAAATCAAACAAAAAATGACCAGCGTGAGTAAGCCAACCAACAAAACAGCTTGTTTCTTTCCTTTTGAGGCTCTGTACCTCCTTTTACCAAGCACAACTGGGTTGACTTCAGCTTGTCTCCAGCCTGCATTTCAAACTGTTTTCATTCCTTATTTACATGCAGCACAGGATATCTGTCACCTAGAATTCCCAATAACCTAAAACTATGCTATTTTCAAGCTCTTGCTTTTAGCATGTGTATGTTACCCAGTTTGCTTCTTAACAGAGGAACAATGAAACTGAAGTCTTCTAGATTTAAAAAACAAAACAAAAACAAAAAACACAACAATAAGAATTGTAGATTTTTTGTTTGAAATTTGCTTAAGAAATTTACTTAGCTTATTATCTCTTTACAGTCTTTCATCATACTCAGCAGTATGTTGCCTTAAAACAAGAAATCTGTATTCAAGAACAAGGGTGCTTGAACCATGCAGTAATTTGTGATGGCAGGAATTTTCTGAAGCCTTTGTTATTCTGGATGTAGATAAAAGACATGTTTATCCAACTTCATTTTTTAAAAATGCTGATTACTTGCTGTTTCCCTGTAAATCAGGTCCCAAGGAGATACCAAGTATAGCACTGAAAGCTGCAAGCCACCTAATGTCTAGACATTTTTGAAAAGTCAATCTAATAAGCAACAGAAATTACTTGACCAAATGAGATTGATACAATTATGAGGCATTATGGCATTGTCCTATACTCCTCATTTGTATAGGGTTAATTTCAACTGACATTAGTCATCTAAGAGTTATGAGTCTGTAGAGCTGGAGCTAGAGGAATAGGCTCACCATACATTCAGAAAAAGTTAAGAAACACCTGGCAGTGATTCATAGTATCATAGGGCTATTCCAGATTGGAGGAGACTTGAAAAGGTCACTGAGTCCAACTCCTGCCTCCACAGAGAACCACTCAAAATCCAAACCCTATGATGTCTGACAGTGTTGTCTAAATGCCTCCTGAACGCTGGCAGCTTGAGGCCCGATCACTGCCCTGGGCAGCCTATTCCATGCCCACTGACCTCTGGTGCAGAACCTGTTCCTAATCCCCAACCTGACCCTCCCCTGACACAGCTCCATGCCATTCCCTTGGCTCCTGCCACTTTCACCAGAAAGAAGAGATCAGTGTGTGCCCCTCCACTCCTCTCACAAGGAATCTGTAGAATACCCCCTTGCTCATCTGAGACTGAATTGAGTTACTCTTGGGAGATATCTCTTCAGTCTCTGTTGACTGCAGAGAGCTCTACCTAGACCCTTGCTATGGCTCAATACCTATCTTTTAGGCAGGTGAACCCTTGCAGTGTCGACACCGAAGATAATGAATTATTCTTTCTTTTATTCCAAAGGCTGATTTTAAGAAGACAGATTTTGTCAATACCCGGACCACAAAAGCCTATAACTCACTAAGAGATTGAATCAGATCATAACATGACAGAAGACGTATATTGATTAGTGTAACTGTCTTCACGTGGCTGGTATTCCTGTGAATCGGGAAGTATCTCGGAAAAAAAGAGGCTGATTTATAGACTGGAATGACCAGTGATAGCTGTCCTGTGTTTTTAATTTTCACCACGTTGTTGTCACCATAGATCAGTATATGAATAACCAGAAATGGATTCTTCAGGACATTTGAGGTGACGTTTCATCTAGGTTTACCACTGCTTGGAGTTTCAGATGACTGCCTTTAGTCTAGCAGACATTTATACACAGAGGTTTAAAATGCTGATTGGCAGCAAATACTTTTCAGAATGTTTTATACAGATCGTTTTCTACAGAGGGTAAGCATCAATTGCACTGCTCAGGACACAGTAATTTTTCACCCTTTTGTCTCTTCACGTATGCTAAACAAGAACCTCCAGACTCTGTGAGTATGCACAAGAAGCTGTTTCACTACCTGCATTCTAAAAGCACTAAGGAAGTTAAAATGAGTATTTTTATATCACTTGTATTCATGTGCTCACTGGTTCTTAAGCCTCTTTCTTTCGAGATTTCATTAGCAACAGCAATAAAGTTGATTTTGCATAGATCTGGTTACGCCTGGCTCTCATCATGATCCTTCACGTGGCTGTTGGAATTGATAACTGTGTCCAGAAAGGGTTTTATCTAAATACAATATGTCAGACACTCTCAGCTGATCCATCATTCTTTGCTAATTGCTGGTGATTCAGTGATTATTTCAAGAAAATCACATTTTCAAAACAGTTCTGTTGATTAAATATTGTAAAAGGAGTGGAGTCTTGTCTTTATTTTTGAAGAGAAAGATACATGAGATTAGGAACACTGCTGCTTAAGGAATGCATCTGATCCTGCTTCATATTCTCCTAGTTGAAATCATCATCCTCCCTACAGCAAATACCTGCAGCGTGATAACAGAAGGATTATGTCTGCACATGTGGGAATAGGTAACAGGAAATAAATTCCTAAGCACATGAAGACTGTTTCTATGATATGATCCTAGGAGAGGAAAAAGAAGCATTAAAACTTCCCATGTCAAGTGGGAGGCCTTTTCTATACAATAGTCATCTCAACAAACCAGCAGTTGGATTGTCCACTAAACTAATTGGAAATAAATACATAAATACATAAAGCTCTGTGGTTTGGATTCCGAGTTGACATGATCTGCCATTACTCTACAAACCAGAGGAGCTAAGCTATGTTGATAGCACCCACAACTGGCATACGCATTCGGAAGCCCTCCTGCAAGAATGGAACCTGTGCTGTGCCCCCCATCATGAACTGCTGGCACAGGAACTTTTGCAGCTGTTCCAACCCAGAAGGGGATGTGCAGTCCTTTAGGACTTCACAGAGGAGAGGTCCACTCATTTCAACACTTCTGCTCAAAGGTTTAACCCCTACCAGAAACTTAGAACTAGCAGACTGTGACATTGCATTGTGTCCAAATGTATTTCTGGATATTGGAGCTAAATTATGCTTGGAGATGCACACAGTTCTTGCAGAGTTGCCAGGAAGTCACACGCATGTATTCAGAACAAAACAGCCTGGAAGTTAAACAACCAACCCTGTTTTTCCAGCAGAGGTCATTTTCACAGGTCTGTTGGTCCTTCACATTTGCTTTGAATAACTCAAATCAAATGTGTCCCTGTAGGAGGTTTTAAAAATACTATTATCTTTTAAGAGATCATTTCCAAAATACTCCAAAAGTCCAAAAACAACACAGGGGAAGGGAACTTACAGCACCTCGTGTTGGGGACGATGTTTTTATAAGTTTTTTAAATATGACAGAAAATGGGCAATTAAAGTCTAACTTTTTCGTCCAACTTGTTAACCCAAGTAATGCTGCATGTACCGTGAATGAATAAATACCTTGAAGACTGGACAAGTCTACTTTCACTGCCCCAAAAGTAGTGGTAGTGAAAACTGATACACAGAGAGCAAACATGAAGACAGAGTGGCACTGGAATGAAGAACTGCAGTCTAAAAATCAGGGAGGAGACTTTTAGAAATAATCAAGAACTGGTTTTGTTCTGTGAAAGTCACACACTTTTAATAATAAAACACCAATGCTGTGCAATTGTAGAAGTTCTGTTTAGACTTTCAGTGTGAGGTAATTAAGAACGAGGGTAATGACAAACTTCCGGGGCTGTTTCTGTTGATAGTGTTTCTTTAAAATCACAGCGGCATTCAGGAGTCACAAAGAGGAATGTCAGGCCTGGCAGCAGCTGAAAGCTGTAAACAGGGATGAGGAACAATGACACGCCTTATGGCAACTGATCTCCTGCTTTTAGACAATCAAAAACATTTCAGCAGGATGCCAGAGAAGGCAATGAATGTTAGAGAAATAATAAAATGTGCTCTAACAGAAATATCTGTCATTGGTCTTCATTGTTACTAGTGAAACAAATTGCTGGCATGCAGCATCCTCTTACCTTTTTTCTGATGTCATAGTTCCTAAATATTAGTGCCTTCCCCCTCACTTGCCAAACAGAACTGGTCTATGTAAAATACTGTAGTACACTGTGCATGAACATAGCATTATGTTACTTGCTGGTTTTTGTGAGTTTTTTCTTTTGTGCAGGAGCATGCCACATATTAGGAAAGCTCTCTCCCTTCTGGGCCCATGCAGATGAGATGAACTAGCACCATTATGAGCCATGATAAAAGAATCCCAGGCTTTTATTAAAGCTGAGGAATTGTAACTCAGGTTTCCAGTTTGCTTGTTTGGGCTTCAGCTGGCCTTAAATTTTCCTGTCTTTAGTATTCAGGACCAAAACACCCGACATTATCACTCTGTAGCTCTCTTTGCAAGGATTCTTGAGATAAGTAAATGAGCAGACACCATGTGAATCACACAAAAGCTATGGAAGTTATTTCAACTCCAGCAGTTGTTCTTCCATTCTTTTTTTACTGTTAGTGCTGCTGATTAAGACCTTTGTTGTCATTCTTGACTCAACACCAGATGCAGCTCATGGGCAAGATATCAACCTTAAGGCCTGCTATAAGCAAAACATCTGGAAGTCATGTCAGAAATCAGACTGGAGAAAAGGCAAGTTTGTACTCAGCATCACAGTGCATTAAGGACAAGTACTTGAAGAATCAGACATTGATATATAATCATGAGAGTCTGCACTGAGCATACAGTTTTAGATGATCTGCAGCATCTGACCACTGAAAACATAAAAGGGAGATTTGCCCCAAAATACCAAAGACAAAAGGGGTTTTACAGCAGATAGTATATGTATACCAGGGGTGTGCCATTCTCTGCAATCATACTTTGGATATTTTAGCAGCTTTTCTTATGATAAGGAAATAAATCCATTTTATCTTAATTCACAAATTCTGAGCCAAATATATTTTATCATTCACAAGCAGAGGTATCGACAGCTCAGGATCAGAAGTCAGAGTTTGCTTACATCCTTTCTTCAGCTGCATGTTTGAGTGATGTGTCTGGTAACTGTAAACAGTTCATGTTTAGGAACTTAACATTTGTTAAAAAAATAACTATTCACCCTAAACTCACATTCCTCCATTCAATTATTTTTAATTATTCCCCTCTCTTCCAGACCAGTTTAAATATCCACATACATGAAAAAGAGAAAGCAAGCATTTGCTTTAAACATCCTTATCATCTGTTGTAAACAGCTGATACTGCAAATCCCCACAAGGTATCAGGCCTTCTAAACAAGCATGTGCTTTTGCTCACAGGGCAGGCAGCACTGTGACTGTGCAAGGGAATGGGGACATCAGTACCAGCTGCAAATATAGTGCTGTTCATTAGGTTGTGCTGACCATAAATTCTGAAATTGCATGAGGCTCTCTCTTTCGCCTCTATTTTTTGATCTGTAAACTGAGATGTAGGACTGTGGGTGGAACTGCCCACAACAAAACCTTGAAAGGTGTTGTCCTTAGAAGTCTCCAGGCTGCCCTTGCTTCTGGGGCTCTGAAGGAAACACTATGACCTTAAATGTAGCCAGACATTTGGGAGTGTCTGCAACTTAAATATGATTTCAGGCCTCCCTCCATCTTTCGTGAGATTTAAGTGCATCATGTGTGACCTTCAGAAATCCATTATTGTTTGTTTTGCCTGTGAAGCACATAGCTCAGAAAGGAGGAACCAAGAGTTCCTACTCCACCACTGGCAGCCCCAAAGGGAGTGCTTTACTCCTAGAGGTTTTCAGGGTGCTGCAAAGAAAAGATCACCTCAACAAGAGGCATGAGGTGGAAGAAAGCTAGCCTGGCAACACCCTGAACAGCCATCTGGTTCAGCTTCCTTTTGGGATGCAGATGACCAGGATCCAGCCAGTGAGACCAATGAACAGGTTCCCAGCATGAGTCAATACACTGAAGATTCTGATGCAGTATTCATGCAATAAGCATGAATCAAGGCCGGAGAGTGTCCTAGAATTGCTGGTGAACCCTCAAACAAGTAAACAGCTGGAGTACTTGATGGAGGAGAGGGATAGTGGCAGCACTACAGTGAGCTGAGAGCTGGCTACCTCTATGTTAAAACTGTAACTAGCATTTCCTATGTGACACTGCAAGTGACAGGGTCATTTATGGATACTCCAAATAATGGAGAGAGCTTTGAATGAAAACGTGGTGCTCCTCTTGCTTTGCTCAGAAACAAGATCACAATCATCAACAGAAGAAACCAAAAGACTGCCATGGTGGTACCTTCAGTCCACGTGTTCACTACAAATACAAATAGCAGAGCTCGAGCCCCTGGCTGATCACAAAAAAAAAAAAAAAAAGAAGCAGCAGCAGCATGAGAGGGGCTTTTTTTAGGGTAAGCGTAGCTGCTGGTTAAGACAGCAATATCTTTCAGAAAGTTCAAAAGCTTTCTGAAGCTCATGAAGGTCATAATATAATGGCCTCAGGCAAAATATCTGTGTTTGGCTTGGAGTAATAACAAAATAAGTCAGTACGGTTGTAAAACAAGTACTGGACTCTTCCTGGAAGAATGCTTCAATGTATGTGAGCAGACTTTAGTTTAACTCAAAACACTGGACATTAGGCTTGGCCCAATTAAAAATGCAGCAACAGCTTAAGCTCCATATGGCTTTTGAAGGCTAGAGAATCCTGAGTATGGCACGTAGGGTGAATGAGCTGTAGCTGAGATTAAAACAGATCCTGTTAGATAAAAGCTGACGATAGTAAAAAGGAAATAAAGAGGAAATACGCTTTTTCATCATAAAACTTTTCCTTTGCATTAGAAGCTTTGCTTGGCAGCATAGGGAGGGGAGGGGTTTTATGATGCATTTGTACTGCGGTTACCTTTGTATTTGCGTAGCAGTTATGACTAGGGAACACACAGCGTGCTGCAAGGAGAACAATGCAGGCTTTCAGAGATGACCTTTACCCTTGGGCAGTGACGGGGCAGCCATGTGAGCTGTCAGCTTACTCTGCGCTAGAATATAACACCAGGTGTGTTACCTGGGTCCTGCCCCCAGCCTAAAATGTAAGCTGGGATATTAGGAATTTTAGTCTGTCTTTTTGGAAAATAAAACCAGGATCCTGAAGATGGTTCTCCTTTCAGAGTGTTAGGAAAAAATCTGCTTGAAACCTATG